GCTGCAGGTTTCTTAGTTTCTTAATCTGATGAGGATATTTTCCAAGAATTATTTGGAAGTCTCTTTTACAAAATGTCTATTTTCCTTTGCAGTGTCCTTTGCATTACTTCAGCGTGAGCAGAATGTTGTTGTCTGGGAAACTGAGAACCACAAAACTCTAAAAACCATCCAGCTAGTAATTGCAGTTGCCACAACGCTTTTGTGGAAGTCACATTGATTATAGGAATGTGCTTCAGGCCAGAGTGCAGAAACAGTTCGACAAGGAGGGGGGCTCTCCACCTGCAGCCATTTGTAACCCCTCTGAATTCAGTGGTAGATCACATAAATAGTTGTAAAAGCCTGATTTAACTCTTGGCCATTTCTTAGAATATCTTTTAAAATGTTTTCTTTCCTCCAGCATGGAGAAAAATGGCAGTTCAAGAAACAATCCGCTCAATGACGCTGTAGAAAGAAGGAATATCAGTGGGCAGATGAAATATCCGTGTGCAGCAATTTGGCTCCTCGTCTACAGGAGATGCATGTTAGCAAAGGGGAGGTACAACTGGAACAACTCTGGCAAAGAAAACAGATGGGCGAAAAACAGAAGAAATGTGTAAAGATAAAACAAGCCTCTGTAAAGGAGAAGAAAGGGTGAATGGCGACTAATAACAGATGAGGCGCATCGAAAAGTAGAAGGAGTAGACTAGAAGGAGCTGCGTCTGAGAATCTACCTTGAGCTCTCATCAATTGAGTGGAAATGTCTCTGACAGGTGCTACATTTTAATCAGTGTGTGACGTAGGTCCTCTTAACAAGAATACTCTGATACCACCAAAATAATAGTAGAATTATGCTGTTTCTATTATGTTTTCCTTCATTTATTTATATATATATGAGGGGAAAAAAACTAAATCTGTTATATGGGAGATGAGGGCCAGAGAAAGTTTGCAAACCACTGAAACTCAGAGTTGCTATGCATGTAGCTGCTGTAACCCTTCAGCCCACTGATTGATTGATTCGCCTGGTTTGACCCTTGTGGCGTCCCGTTGGATGTTTACCTGTCCTTTACCACAGGAAACCTAATGGATCCTAATGGATCCCCTTTGTACAGTTCAAATGACAATCTAAAGATTAGGGGTGAGAAAAACCTGACTTTATATTGTCCTTTTTATAATAATCAGTTATTTAGTTATTTGTCTCTTTTTTTAAAACTTGAACCACACTTTCTAAACCTTTCCAAAGCTTTTTTACTTACTGTTCTCCACCGCGCCTCACGGAGCAGCGACTGCACAAGCTGCACTGTATGACTTCACCCTCTGCCATGGACACACATTGCAAACCCTAAAGGAGGTCAAGGGTCATTCGCGGCCCACATTCCTTAAGCTGCCACTTCCCTGGCACCCCCCCCATTTTAAATGCTTTGTTTGAATCTGTCAGCCACACACACACACACACACACACACACACCAGCACAGACATGAAACAGCACTTTGTCTGCTGCTCTTGTTGCCCTACATAAAATAAGTAGAATTAAAGGAATCATGGAGGGGGGGTTCTGGTGGAGGCGGTGCAACAAAAGGCTTCAACACTAAGCATAGGGAGGGAAAGGGTGGAGACAACTGGGTGGAGTTGAACGAGGGCGGGTGTAGGGGTCCAGAGAGGCAGAGGAAAGAGGTTAACTGGAACAGGAAGTCTTATTTTTCCTTCAGGTTGAGATGAGATCCAGAGCTTCCCAGTCCTCTTTGTTTTTCTCTACGATTGCATGTTTCATTCATGAGCTCCTATTGAAAAAGTCATACGCAGAAAGAGCGAAAGATACGTGACGCTTTAAAGTACTTTTTACTTCTTTTTTTTAATCATTTATTATGAAAACCCACAGCATTCACAAGCTGTCTGCGCGCACACACACTGGCACACATCTGTAATTGACCACCTGTTTTGTCTGTGGCCTAGTTTCCGCTTTACGAAAGGCCGTGCAGCGCTGCAGTATAATTCCGCTGGGATGCCGAACTGTGAGCCTCTTATTTCTGTTGTTTTGAAGTAACACAAAGGGACAGAAAAGCCAAACATAGCACGTCTTCTGGGCTTCTTTTTGCATGAATAGAAACGTTTGGGGCAAAGGAGCCTGCCCACATCCCCACTGGGAAAAGATGCTGCCCGTCGCGTAGTATTTTCCCTTTTTTAAATTGTAAAAAAGAGATATTGTGAGAATCGTAGATAAGTAGTTATAACTTAACTTTTTGCTGTTGTTGTACATCTACGTGCAAGTATGTATTGAGATTCATGAGTTGATGAGTTATGCGCAACTTGATTTGGATGATCGTGTTAGATGACATGTGTGTGGAATGTGTTGCAGTGTATTTGTGCACTTTGTGTGTGTGTGTGTGTGTGTGTGTGTAATATATATATATATATATATATATATGTATATATTCTTGTGTACAGACAGGAAGGCTACAGGACCGTCTGTGTTTGCAATAAGCTGAGAGAGCCAGAGGAACCCACTACTGAGGGAAGCTATAGGGGTCAAGACACAAACACACACACACAAACACACTCCTGCCTGTTTGTAAGCTCTGCTGACTACAGGAAGCAATAATTGTAGCGTGCTTCCGGAGTTCCGGAGGCTTCTCTCTGGGGAGTGTGTGGCTGTCCTGTCCAGCTCAGCAGACCAAAACTGAAAAGAAATACAGCCGAGCAGAAAATGATAGAACATTAGCGAGAGAACCCGACAATAGATTTCAATAGAGAGCAGGATCGTGCCGAGGACAACGGATCGAAAGCAAAGCTGCGAGTAAGCGCGACGTCCTTCTGTTGAAGAGCACCAGAGTGTGTCCAGATGTGCGGGCTGATGCACGTGTGGTGCCGCTGGCTCACCAACAAGCCCGGGTCACGTCGACAACATCGACGTCGGCAGCGGCCCTTCTGAATCGTCTCCAGCTGGATGGCAGACAGGAAGCGAGCGGGGAGTCCTGTGGAGACACCGTCTGTGTGTCAGACCTCAGCGTCTCTGTGGCCCGCGGCTGTCCCACAGTGCGAGCGTCCCTCGGTCCTCCCTCCCTCCCTCCCTTCCGCCCTGCAGCTTGCACCAGTGTGTGAGTTTGCACGCACACGGGCACCTGATAGTGTGCATATGTGTGCGTGCGTGCGGTTGTCCAGCTGGAACGTTCGTCTCAGGGTGACCTACAGCGCGACCATCATTGCTCCTGGTTGGATTTCACCTGCTAGCCGTCGGCCACTGGATCCCGCACTTCCTGCCAGAGAGCCCCTGAACGTATGCATCTTTTAAACGCCCGACGTGTCACAGGAAGCCGTCGATGGAGGTGGCGAGCGCTGACACCTGCTGATCTGAATCAGGCGGACGGGTTCGGTTACCGTACGACAACATCGACTACCCCGCCTCGCTCGTTAACTGCGCTCTGCTCTCTTCCTGCGGAGGTTAATGCTGTATTTCGTTTCCGTGTCGGAATTTGCTCTTGACATCAGAGGGGCCGATTGAATTGATGCTTTAACTCACTGTGAAGCGAGCGAGATTGAGGCGACCCCGGTGACATTATACGTGGTAATTCACACAGACTCTTCACAGGCTGAGAAGTATTCCTCTCGACCAGCAAACTCGATGTTCTCCATGTGTCTCGATGTTCAGAAAACGCTAAACGCAGCCCGATATTTGAGAATTATGAGTGTTAATCTCAGATATTTCAAAGATACACTAATGCTCCCCACGGATTACCGCCAAATCACATGAGCCTGCCTCTGAATCATCGTGGGACTGCTTCTCAAGTAGCTCTGCTTCCTGTGCGCGGGCTGAGTGACCATCACATGTTTAGGAAGCGATCACATGACACGTACAATAAATCCACCACTAAGCGCTTATTAAAACCAAACGTTACAGATGTAAGCGGAGCTGACGGTTAACGGTGGCCTCCTCAGCCATACATTTGTACGTGCGTGTGCGAGCACACCATCTGCCAGTGGTCACGGGGGGAGGGGGGGTTGTGCTGATGTATAGTGACAAGCGGCTCAGACGCACACGGGGCCCTCCATGTATACTATACACACACATAAATACGCTCACACAGAGCCATCGTTGCCGATACAGCAGCTTTTGAAGACGGGGGCCGTGACCCTTGCGGTGTTATTATGTCTGCTGTCAGGACGGATCACCGCCGAATTAGAAAAGCAAAGAAGAAGAAAAGCAGGAGGCCGTGCGGAGAGGACTCAAATCCCACTGAGGCGGCATAAGTTACCCAACAAACTGAAAACGGTGAAGAGAGGCAGAAAGAGCAGGCACAGATTAGCTAATAATCAAATAACATATGCATTTAGCTGTACATAGCCTTTTAGGAATTGGAGCTAGATGAGAAGACTCGTAGTGTGCATAATTCTCTATGCTAAATGTAGAGCTATCGCTAGCAGCTTGTTCAAAACCAACACAATGATAACAATGAAGTATTGATCACACGAAGGTCACTTCTGTCTCGTTGTCTTAAAGATGCAGTTTGATTTAAACGGTTTCTCGTACGCCTCACACGAACAATTCGATACCCTGACTTTTCATTTGTGCCTATTCTCTTCTAGCGTATATTAAACAGTCACTTTTGGACCTCATGAATCACGGAGGAGGATTACACACATTTTGAAGGTCCGTTTCCCTTCTTCTCCACGCTGCATTTCACTGTAGCTCCTGAGTGATTTAAAGCCGGGCCGCTGTATAGTTTCCACATCCCCTGCTCGCCTTCTCATTGACATTCTTTACCCCTGAGGCGATCGGTCTCTGCCACATCGCCGTGCTTGTTCGGGCTCGCCTCGCGGCGTGGCGCTGAGGGAGATCAGCCGCTTGATACGCGTTCCTCCTCGACGGATCGAGTCCCCATCAAAGGGTGTTTTCATATGTACGTGCACGTCACAACCACTCCTATGCAGTGTATACAACCCAACCCGTCGATATTCCCGCCTCGCCTGTTGTGTCCTCTTCATTGTCTCCCCCTCGCTCACCCTGTGTTCTTTTCTCTCGCCTCAGGCCCTGGTAGGAGCGTGATGAGCGCGCGCTTCCACTTGCCTGCTGGCAGATCCTACAATGTCCGGGCGACGGAGCTGGAGCGAGACAGGCAGCACACACAGGTCGTGTGCAGCGTACTGCTGCTGGACAACACCTTCCAGGCCTTCAAAGTCTGCGTGAGTATGCCGCTCTCTGAAAGGAGCTTCGGTGGAATTCATTGGTCGTCCTGCAGGTGTGCCGCGGGCTTCAGTTTCCTGCTTCTTATTGGAGTCTTGAGCAGACAACCACACGACTTGAGACTCACACACTTCCAGTATCCGCATCTCTGATATCAATCACCAACAGACATTAGAATAAAGATGATCATTATAGATCCAGAAGTTGTTCAGTTTTAGAATAATCTTTACATCCATTGGTACATCGCCTACAGGAGCTGCCGATTAGTAACTTTGGCAAGGAAATGAGATTAACCAGACACGAGGGTTACTTCCATCTAAAATCTATTTAACGAGCAAATTATATTTTCTGTGATATTGTGACGACAGGATCTACATTTCTCTTCTCACACTGGCTTCTGTCAGTAACTGATCACGCGGTCGGCCTTTATCTCGTTTTACCAGCATTCCGTCACACTCGGTCGCACCTTGAGGGCCGAGGCGGACAGACTGTGTGTTGTACTCAGCGCACGAAGGCAAATGACAAGCTGGCTTGTGACTGGCGTTCCAGTCATCCCGAAAACACATTTCCTTTATGTCTGTCTGTCTCTCTCTCTCTGACACTGTGTTTGATCAGACTTCTGACAGAACCAGTAGGGAAATTCCCTTTGTGAGTCAGAAAATATATTTCCTCTAATAACATCCCCTCTCTGGTAGACAGATCCTGTGTCTGTTGAAATATGTGTCTGTGAGCCTGTGAACATGCAGGCATGTATATACAACAAAAGGAACGACAATCACTTTACATTTTTTCTCTCTACATTTATTTTTGAGCTCTCCTCACCCTCTCTTCTTGCTGGTCCAGAACCCCCCCCCCTCACCCTGCTTCTTGAATGAATGAATGAATGAATGAATGAGTGGGTCTCTGTCAGTGTCATTGATCCGAACCCCGGCGGCAGCACCAACTTCCTGGAAAGACGAGCCATCCTGACCGCAACAATACCTCTATTGATCCTCTCTCTGGCCCGAATGGCCTTGACACCAGCGGAGAGTGAAAATCCAGAAGCGGGCACTTCTCGCCATGGGAACCGTAGCGCTCGCCGTGCAGGCCGGGGCTGCGGGTGTAGCATTGAGCCTTGATCGATGACGAGGAAATAAAATAAAATAAATAAAGCCCAGCCCACTACTGACCCCGCACTAGCACAAAAGTGGGGTCAGAAACAGGACGTGTTAGTAAAGTGAGGTGGTAACCATAGTAACCACTAGACACCACACAACGATTCAGCTGTCCGCAAAGCAAGGAAATAGCTCTTAATAAAGAGCAAGTAAGAGCAGCAAGAGGCAAAGGATAAATAATTCAGCATGAAAAAGCTGTAATTTAGTGCTGATTGAGACAGAATACCAATGAAAGGGACACGGAAGAAAGGATTCAATAACCAATAGAGCACTAGAGATCATTGCCTCACTAATTCTAAGTTTGCACCCAATTTAGCTGGGAATTTATTTATAAGGCCATATTTGTATAAAGATACCTTACTTTAGAGAATATGCACTGATTTTCCTACAATTGTTTCCAAATGAAAAGCTTTAGTCACATGAAGCCAGCTGCATATTCTTTCCACTTCATATATTACTCTCCCTTCAGCGGACCAATGACCCATCATCTCATTATTCTTTTAGTGCAGTGCTAGTATTAAATATTAAAGAGTCAAAACATTTCTGCCGCTGATTTCATTTTAATTTTGTGTTTGAGACGTTCTCCACCGTTTTAACACAAAATCAGTGTCTCTCTCTCTTTGTCCTCAAAGAAACATCCTCAAACAGCCGCTTTTATTGTGTCTAGCTCTCAACTACATCACGTGGTAGAGTTATACTTGACTTTTCTATCGAATAACACTTTTTACTGAACAGAGAGAGAGAGACAGACACACAGAGAGAGAGAGATCCTGTCTAAACAAGCTGCCTCACGCATTCCTGAGTCTCCCTCATTGTCTCACACAGACTCATACATGAAGCACATTCAGCTGTTTCCAGTGGAAGGAAATGTACAAGGAGGGAAATAACACACAGACACACACACACACACACACACACTTGATTCCCCTCAAGCACCACTGTGATGTGATTTCAGGTCCCTCCAGTGTGACTGATGTTTGGACTAACACTTTAGATAAAACATGTCGGAGTACATCTCTCTCTCTCTCTCTCTCTGACTCTAGGATTGCACCCTCTCTCCCCTCTCTCCCCTCTCTCCCCTCTCTCCCCTCTCTCTGGCACACAGAGTCGGTTCAGTCGGTGGTGCTGCTGGACTGATGAAGAGTGACACAAAGAGCGTTTGTGTCGCCTCGTCAATCTCTCCCTTTCTCTCCTCTTCACTCTGCGCGCCTCCTACCATCTCTCTCTCTCTCTCTCTCTCTCTCTCTCTCTCTCTCTCTTGGTTCGCGTTCAGTGACTCTCTATCTTCGAGTGTGATCGGCCGTGAAGCAGCCGCAGCGCTGAGCTCGTTCCTCTAATTTGTTGTGAGAAAAATAGTTCAGAGGAAGAATGAAAATATGTGTGCGTTGAGGCTCCTTGTGTGCATGTAGAGTAACAATGGATTGCTCCTGAACAGGCGCTGATCGCACATTTGCCGAGCACGCTTTAAGAATACCAGAAGAGGCTATCGCACGCACGCACACACACACACACGGGTATACAGACACACACGCACACACACGGGTATACAGACACACATGCACACACACGGGTATACAGACACACACACAGAGCGGCGATGGGTTTCCTGGGAGCGAGGTAGAACAAGTGCACAGAGGGCTCCCACATTAGACTTGAAAAGCAGCTTCAAACAAATGAGAAGCAGTAGACGCACACACGCACGAGGAGGGGATGAGGAGAAGGAGCACAAAGATCAGAATTGAGTCACTCAACTGTGTGTCAAACTCTTTGACAGCAGTCGATTAACACACACACTTGGTAACAGGGGGAGGTGAATGAGAGCAATAAGTGTGTGTGTGTGTGTGTTCTCCCATGGGAGCTCTGATGGAGTTACACACTTAACACTCTCTCCCTACCTCTCAAAGTCGCGGTCAAGATCAGGTGTGAATTTCTGCTCCACTTGTGGTCCCACAGTTTATCCTATCGCCCTTCCTCCTCCTCCTCCTCCTCTCATGAAACGATGTGATATTAATGATCACTTTCATAAATTATTCCTCACCCTCTTTCAGCCTTTCATTCCTTTTTGCTCCGTCTGATATTTGATCTTTTTAAAAAAAATTATTCAGCGGTTCTGGGTTGTTTCCATTTAAAGAAAATCGCTATATTCTTTTACGAGCTTTGTTGTTCTCAAGTGATTTCCTTCCGGCTGCCATTACGACATCAGCCCCAACGACACAACAACTGCTTTAACTGTGTTAAAGTGAAAATAAGGGTCAAGTCACCCATGATGTACACAAGAGTCACTCACCATCATCCCATGAACAGTCCTCATTCGGTTACTAAGCGAGTAACCCTGAAGAAAGAATCGGCACTGAGCACTTCCTGTTTCACCTCTGAGAGGCAAAAGAGTTGCATTGGGAAATTTAACTCTAAATGTTCACATCTGTCTGAAGTCAGTGTTTCTGTCACCAAAAGCACCCAGCTGGTGAACGGCCAACTGACATATGGATTTGTACCGTTAATGGCTTAACGCTAACAATGTTTTGTATATGTGTGTGTGTGTGTGTCTTTAGGGCTGTGTAACTTAATGTCAGATGGCGTTGCACGGTCACTGAGCAAACCTAGTAGCCAAATGGATAAATACGCGACAAGAGCCCAAAGCCGCTCATCAACTTAATTTCTCAGACACGTTCCTCCCCACGTGGTTACAGAGATATTAGATGAGTCCTAACATCCATTTATTTAGTAAACCAGAATAAATCCCATTGACATAATGTGGCTCTGGGTGAGAATACAACAAAGAAATTAAGTGAGTCAACTATATGTTTCTTATTCAGTTTAAGGATAAAGCAATTCGTAATCCTGTTTTAGACAAATGTTCAATTGTTATTTTACAATCCAGTTTAAAAGGCTCAGTAGAGAACAAAGACAAGCAGGCGAGGAAATGTTCCTTTTACATTATTTAGATCTCAGTGAGCTTTGCCTTTACCGTGACCTTTCCGAGCTATTATGTAATTCTGACTGGCGGCGTGTTTTCTGTCGCTCTCTGCAGAAGTCGGATCCCGGCCAGGTGTTGCTGGACGCTGTCTTTAAGCACCTGGAGCTGACTGAGAGGGACTACTTTGGCCTGCACCTGGCCGATGACTCCTTAGATTCGCCGGTCAGTCGGATGGTTTTTGATCTGCAGGAGCGTTTTCACCAGGGAACAAATGGCAGCTGAAAGTTGTTTAAGTCTGTTGTGTGGATGCATTGATTTTCTCTGTGTGTGTGTGTGCTGAATAATTTAGGTTGTGTGTCCATGCTATGGAAGGTGTCTCTAAGTGTCTCTCCATCAATATTTTACAGCGCTGGCTGGATCCCAACAAGCCCGTCAGGAAGCAGTTAAAGAGTAAGTGAAATCCACACACTGACGAGTCTGGGTCTTATTCAGGGAACCAACGGCCCCCGAGGTTACAAACCCACCTCCACCCCCTTACCCCTCCACCTGCAAAAGTGTCCCGTCTGCAAGAGTTTTAACAGTTCTCAGTCTGTTAGCAATTCTTAAACTTCATTTAAACTCTGCTCTGTTTTTTTGGATAATGAGTAGTAACAGTAAAGGAGAAGCACAGTTTGTTACAGTAGAAAATGGTACAATTCTCTCACATTCTCTCCCCCCCAATAGTCTAACTGTTTGTCATCATGTTTTCAGGAGGCTCTCCCTACAGCTTGAGCTTCAGAGTCAAATTCTTTGTGACAGACCCCGGTAAACTTCAGGAAGAATACACACGGTAAGAGGTCTCTTTTTAGTTATAACGATTCTAACGATAAATGCTCAGCATTATTATTAAAAAGACGTATACTTGTCAGGGATGCCTCATGATGACAATAATATCACTTTAATGATAATTAGAATGGTATTATCGTCATATCATTGTCATTTTATGATGACTTCATTCCATTGACATAACGATGCCAAACGGGTACAAAGCTCCACGAGCAAGACGTAATGCATTTATAGATATAGAATCTAAATCTATTTCTGTAAACAAAGTTTAAGCGGCCTCCGACCCACGTGCGAGCAGACATAAGGTTCCTTATGTTGCGGCGCCTCGTCTGCCTTTTTCCCGCCCCGTTGTTTATTTCGGCCTCTCGGCCGCGGCGACACTTTCCTACACGCAGCCGGTGGCTGTGAACGCGGTGCCCCGAGTCACGACGAAAAAAGGCTTCGTCTGTGACGCTCGTTTTTACACAGCAGTGACATAAGCTGTGTTATATTGTATGGCTTGTAAACAGGAAGCGCCAATCTTTTTAATGCTCCGTTTTGTCTCCCTCAGGTACCAGTATTATCTTCAGATCAAGCAGGATATAGTAACCGGAAGGTGAGTTTTGTCATTGAAAGTTGTTTTTGTCAGTAAAAATGAGCTGCTTTTTTCCCCTCCACGTAAAAGAAAATATGATTCATGTTTTTCTTTTCCTTCTCTTTCAACGTGATTATCAGAGATGAGTAATCGCTCTTTATGTATTGATCCGATGCTTGTGTCCCTGTGGTTTCCAGATTGCCGTGTCCACACAACACAGCCGCTCTGCTGGCGTCCTACTCCGTTCAATGTAAGTGGCGCTCGCCGGGTACGTGCACTCTATCGCTGGCGGAGAGGCACTTCATTAGGCCTCCAGCTACGCTGCCTGTTTAATGTAATGGCTGCTGGTGCCCATTATGATTCAATCAGGATTCAAGTGTGGTGATATTTGATCGTATAACAGTCTGGTGCTTATTGGTCAAATATGGTAGAGTGGCAAATGGAAATGTGGTGGTGTGATGGAGCGTTTGGGCTGCAGGCTGACGGTGCCCCTCTGTCCTCATAATAATGACACACTGCTCCGTCTGTGTTGCTCGCTCTTTCTCTCGTTGCTGCTGCTCATTGTTTTCGTGCAGCCGGTTTCTTTCTTTTATCTCTGTTTAGTCTGTCTCATCCCTTTCTGCTTATCCCTTTATTTTTCACACTGACAAACCCCTCCTCTCGCACCCCCTCCCTCTTTCGGTCCTCCAATCCTCTGCCACATATTGTGGGGAATTTGCTCTGCTGCAGTATATAGGTCAGAGAAGAGATTTGTCCTAGACTCCCGCCATCATGACACCACTGCTTTTTACCCCCCCCCACACACACACAGATGCACACGCACACCCTCTGTTGCTAGGTTTGTGTTACTTGTCACTTTGCTCAGTGCCAGACCAGATTATCAAGATTAATGTTTGCTTTGGGGAAAAACGGCTTGAAGCAGCTGCTACGCTGCTAATTCAGTTAGCTTGGTCCAAGTGCCGGTCGCAGATCAATTTAAATCCCACATTATGCATTAAGCTTTTTATTCCCTAAAACCACAAATCCCACCCAGTTGAAAGCAATTCATGTTTAATATTGACCAAATACGGTGTGAAACCTTAGCAGCCCTTTCCCCGGAGATATGACACTTGTGTAAGAAATCTTGAGAAAAGCCATTGTTGTTTAATTCAGAGCCGTCGGTGTGAGCTTGTGTAGCTTTTCAAACAAACACAAATGTTGCATCACAACACTTTTGCATTAAAAGCTGGGTTTCATCGGGGTTGCCTAGTGTAGTTTTGTAATTGTATGCATATTGACAGTGGTTTTCTGTCACAAGCACACACACACCCCCACACAAAGACATACACACTTGGACTAAATAACCCACAATGCATGTTAATCCATCATGACAAATGGAGAGTTGAATGTCTCGTTTGTCCCTTCTCTGTCAATAGCATCATTATATGGAGCCTGAGCTCGAGCCAGTATGGATTTCACATCAACAGATGAATATATAATGAGAGATCAGGTTGTCAGCTAGTCTTTGAGCTTCATTCGTGTGAACATTAGACCTTGTTAAAGTAATATTACTGCGGCATAAAGTAAAAGCAGCGGCGCCCCTCTGCTCTCAGGCGTGAGCTATTGACATGCACACTTCTCCCCGGAGCCGTGGGCATGTCAATAAGCAGCTAAGCTTGAATTGATTCTTCGGTTAATATGTTTAAGCTACTGGCTAGCAGGTTAGCCGAGGGACTACTTGAGTAAAGTGATGCTTTTGAGCTCGTGAGTTTCTGGCTGTGGAGATTCGCTTCGAGCTCCTTCGCTCTGAAAGCTTTAAGAGAAAGAATCATTTCACCCGTTGACTTTCTGCCTGTTACAACAATCACTTCTTTCTTCCTCTGTAAATGCAAGCAGATGTGATTCTACTGTCTATTGTTTTCATCATTTCATTTCAACAGGCTTTATGAAATGCATTCATTGGAAAAGAAAAGAAAAAGATCTATACTTGCCTGCTAGCAAAGACAAAGAAACTAATAATGCTTGTTCCTCTAGTACAAGAAGTTTGTCAGTTGTTGTGAGAATTTTGTCGATGAGGTGTGCAGATTGAAATTGGTTTATTTATTCTTCACCACTGTGAGTGTGATTGTTCCATTCCTGTGTAAACCGATGTAAACACAGCAAAGAGGGTGGCGGAAACATGGGAAAGTGTGAGATGAATCACAATCAAGGTCCAATAGCAACAGTCCATTGAAATTAAAACTTTGTTGTTGGTTCTTTTAATAATCAGCCAAAGCATTCAAATATTCACATTCTGAAGGTGTTTGGCAAAGAAGATTTTTTTGTTTTTTTTGACATTTGCAATGAAAACATGTTTTTGCAAAACAAAGACCTCATTTGTGGATGAGAACCATGTTCTTCAAGGTCAGAACATGGTACACGTGTTTTTTTTGTGTTCATTTTATGACAACTCTTTATTTGACAACACGTTTGCTGCTGCGCTGTGGTCTCATCAGCGAAGTCATTCTCCCCCTCTCTCCCTGTGCAGCTGAGCTGGGGGACTACAGCGAGACGGAGCACGCGGCCGGCTACCTGTCGGAGTTCTGCTTCATGCCCAGCCCGCCGCACGACTTCCACAAAGAGGTCGCCAAACACCACCAGCAGCACAGGTAGGCCACAGCCGGAGGGGGGCGGGGAACGGCCGTGCACGTTGCAGGACAATCAACTCAAATAAGCAAAATGTCATTATATTCCAGGATTTGGTTTTTTATTCTCTATTATTAGAAAACTGCTCTTTTTTGTATTCAGCTCATGTTCAATTTGCTCAAAAAACGAGACATGGAAATAATTCTTTTTTTTTTCTTTTCTAAATTCAATATGCAATAGGTGGTGTTGTAGAGAACATTGCGTACATGTGCCACAGTTTATCTGACCTTTTACTTCATTCAGACCTCTGATGGACCGTTGCTTTTGTTCCTTTTTGTGCCCTTCTCTTCCTTTCTCCTTCTCCACATGCCTCTCTGCCTCACACGTTCTCTCTTCTCCCCGACTCTGTCATCATCATCACTCCCTTCGCCCCAACACACAACCGCCCCGGCCCCCCGTCTGTCTTTGTACCTGTCCCCTTCTCTCTCGCTCCCAGCGGTCTATCTCCGGCCCAGTCAGAGTTTAATTATCTCAACACAGCACGCACGCTGGAGCTCTACGGGGTGGAGCTGCACTATGCAAGGGTGAGTAAGGTGTTATTCTGTGTTTACGCTCCAGTCTGTTGAGGCCTGTTGCTGTATATATGTATATGTGAATATATATGTTGCTACTCTCTGTATTCCCGTCGGCGTCAGATCATTTTAACCCGTAACGTCACACAACTAGCGGTGTCAGAATCTATACCAAGAAAAAAAAATAAAAATCCCAATCTGGACCGCACTGATTGAACGCTGTTATTATTCCCTCGAGAGCCGAGTAGGAGAGAGAACCGGTTGTACAGTAGATGATGATGCCACACCGTGCAGAAAGGCCACGCTGTGGCATCACGGAAGTGCCATCAGACAGCAGCAGCACTGTTGATGGACTTTCTTTCGTGTAAAATGTTGGCGCTTAGCAACAGCTGACACGGTTCAGGAATGTCACGTCTAATAATTCTATGTCTTAAATTAGCATTTCAACACACTTTAAGAAAGGCTGTTGTCAAACTAACTGCTATATGAACATTTTGAGAGCCCTGTTAGATAGAAGCATAGCTTTAAACGGGTTGTGCCATTAATAACCTCGACTCTCTGAGGCAGGTCTGTTTACTACTACCAGTGAGGACGCCTTCCTCAGCTCTGCTTCATTACACACACACACACACTCACACACCTCGTTCTCCTCTCGTTCCACCAGGACCAGAGCAACACGGAGATCCTTCTTGGTGTGATGTCCGCCGGCATTGTGATTTACAAGAACAGGGTACGAATCAACTACTTCCCATGGTGAGAGAATCAAACACACACACGCAAACAAACATAGAATTTAGTGGTCTAGGTGGGTTTGCGTGGTGTCCCTCCCCTCTCCAACGAGATTGCTCAAAGGTTGTAGACGTGTGGGGGGCAGAGGGAAGTTGTCAATTTGTGAATAAGGATGTCTTAATCGCCGTTCTGGTTATTATAATTATGATGAGGCAGATTTCTTGGAGCTTTGGAGTGAGAGGTGCAGCGGTGATGGATGTAGTTGATATATAATCAGCGGAGGAGGCCGCGAAAACCGAATGAAGATCTGATGGGAAGCAGGTAGAGGATTAAAAAGGAGGAAACCAACGAGTAGAACAAAAACCTCCCCGTTTCTGCACGTCTCTGTCAGATTGCCCCCTGGATCAAACCGTGGATGTTCTCTGCACAAACCTCCCCGTCCGTCAAAACGTCTGCCAGCTGCACTTGAACGGCCTCCAGGAAGCCTTTTTGCCGAGAAATGTGCCACGTAATATTTCTGGAAACCTCACACAGTGTGATGGTGATTATTGACATAGCGTGTAAACGGTTAAGCCGCCGTTGATCTACGCTGGAATTATGCGGATGACTCCACCAGATATTCCTGGGGGCGGGAGGGGGGCAGTTGAACTACGTTTCCAGGAAATATTGTAGCCCTCAAATCTGCTCAGTCTCCTATACTCGTTGTCCATAAGCCTTTTTTGTCTCTTCCCGTTCTATCCGAAGCAGCGATTCTTGGAAATCTACCATCCTCTGCCGCTGCTCAGTGGGAGGCTAAATGTTAATGGGTGCCGGGGGTTGAGATGGTAACAACTCAAATCACTAACTCTGAAAGATAATTCCCTCCCGCGCAACATAGACCAAATGCACAGAGTAGCTGGTATATAGATCCTTGAGGACTGAATGGTCACTCAATGTCTAACACCGTCAGATGTTCCTAAAAAGATTAGTGTGTTTGCAGCATGTTTCTGTGTTTTTAGGCCCTTGTCTTATTTGGGGGCCAGACCATGACATTTTTTGTGTGAAGGCTTTTTGGTGAGGGGGTGGATAAGTCTCCATTGAACCAATGCGAAACTGTGGTACAGTTTTTCCTGCGCGAGTGTCTCCACATCCAGTCAGCTGAGCTAAATTTAGTGGTGTCGACAACAGCTGTGCGCGACCACGTGTGCGAAAGGGAGAGCGACACAATAGTCCACAGTGTCTCTCCAACCTATGCTCACAGATTGTCTCCGCTCTGCATTGGCTCGAGTCCTGTTACATCTCCCGGTGTCCCTCCTCTCCGCTTGTCCTCGCTCCCACACGTGTATAATAAATGGAACTGTACAGTAAGGCAGCGTCGAAAGACAAAGTGACGTTTTGCCTTTTCTTTCCTATTTGTGAAAAACAGCCTCAGAAATGAGCCACACTTGGATGCGTGACTCACATTCTGCCTTAGTGCGCGCGTGTGTTTGTCGATGCGAGAGTGTCTGAGTAAGTATGTAAAATATATTTAGCAGCGAGCGATGAGTCACAGCAGCAACAGAGCTGAAAGGATTATGTTGCTCTGCTGCGGCTCATCAGCAGACCTCGCAATTAGGTCTGATATTATTTCGTGGCGCTTCTGCCTCTTTGGACTTTTGGACGCGTGACTAGACATTCCGTCAATTGATTGACGAGATTGTCCTCGTTTGGTGTCTCCAGCGTGGTCGCACTCTCCCGCTCTGGTGGGAGCAGCAGCGGGTCGGAGGTTAAACGAACAGTTGGGATGTGACTCGTGTGTCAGCTTACTTGAGGAACAGGCGATTCATGGAGAAGGGTCCTTTGTTTTTCTATTTATTGGTTCCTAAAAAAGGAAGTTTTGAATGCAGTGTTTCCGTCTACATTGCCGGTTGTGAATGAATCAACTCGCTACAGAAAGAATCACAATGCTGTGACAAAACGTTCGTATTGACCTGAAAGCTACGAAGAAAAGAAAGCTGATCTTTGTTTGGCTTTTGGAGCATTTGGTTTAATTTCTTGCTCTGACAATATGACAAGCAATCACACGAAACTTTCCTCTGTGTGCACATAATGGCATTTGAACACCGTGTTAATTGATTGTATTAAACTCACAAAGGCGGGGGACAAAATTCAATAAGGCTTTAAATCTGTACAAACAGTATTGATGATTTATATATACAATAGTCATTAAATATTGGCTGTACAAGGCCATTTCAATTTACACAATGATGTTAAAAAGCATTGATCATGTCAAATATTCGGTATTTGTCTTTATAATATTAGTAGATTTTGTTACTGTGTACTTAATTGGCTATTGATAGTGTACCCACTAATGATACTTTATAAAGGACAATGACTGACTTTTATCAAAAGTGTAAAAACGTCACTTCAGTGTCCCGATACAGCTGATGGTCTCATTAATTTTTCCTTCTTCCAGGTTGAAAATAGTGAAAATCTCCTTCAAGTGCAAGCAATTCTTCATCCAGCTAAGAAGAGAGGCGGTAGGTGTGCGCGTCCACACCCGTACATCTCGTAACCACCACCTCCCTCCCCACAAGTGTGACGTTTGAAGAGATTACCTACGTGTGTTTGTGTGTCTGTGTCTGCATGTGTGTGTAATCAGTGTGAGATCAACCTCCTGCTGACTGTGCCCTCGTTGACTTGCACCCCCCCCGTTTACTTCTTCATAATTTCGTATAGAAAACTAACCTGTCTGCACAACTGTGTGTTAAAAACTAAAACAAAATACAATTCTGTTACTCTTCCATTTCCTGTCCCTTCCACCTCCCTGAATGCATCTGGAGAGCCTTGAACTTAAATGTGTGTTGCATCGCGAGTGTGATTCCGAAAACCTGCGTTAAACTAAATATTGGTAGTTGGAGTTCAACAGATGAAATTGCTGGAAATTATGACACACTGAACGTTTAAGGAAATGATTGTAGTAACATTAGAAAGCGGAAAGTAACAAAGTCCCAGCTGAGCTCGTTAGCTAAAAGTAATGAACAAACCGTTAGCTAACAGTTATGGATAAACGGTTAAGCTAACATTAACGGTTTGACTGTTTATTCACTTATTTGACTAAACGGTAATCCGTTCTGGAAAAACAGTTGTTAAATAAGGGAAGACACTGTTAAATGGTTAGCGAACCGTTATTTAGAAACAGTTAGTTAACAGTTATGGATAAATAGTTGAAATAGTAAGCTAACGTTAACCGGTTGACTGATTATTCACTTATTTGACTAAACAGTTAGCTGACCGTTAGGAAAATACAGTTGTTTAATAAGGGAAGAAACAGTTAAATGGTTAGCTAACAGTTATTTAGAAACAGTTAGTTAACAGTTATGGATAAATAGTTGAAATAGTAAGCTAACGTTAACCGGTTGACTGATTATTCACTTATTTGACTAAACAGTTAGCTGACCGTTAGGAAAATACAGTTGTTTAATAAGGGAAGAAACAGTTAAATGGTTAGCTAACAGTTATTTAGAAACAGTTAGTTAACAGTTATGGATAAATAGTTGGTTTAAAAAGGGGATAAACAGTTAGCGGGTTACCTAACAGTTATGGATAAACTGTTGAAAGTTAGTTGATCAACTGGATGAACATTTGTTAATTAAAGGCAAAAACAGGTAACTGTTATCTATGAACAGTTTAAACCGTTAGCTAAGTTAACAGTTAAAATAAGTGGAAACTGTTAGCCACACGCGTCTTTATTGTACCATTCTTACGTTAAGCCTACTGTTGGATTCAGATGAACCGAATCCCGGTCACCCGCCGTCACTTCACATACTAAATACCCATTAACCTCTTTACTCTCCCTCCCTGCACACAGACCGAGACCCGGGAAACACTGCTGGGCTTCAACATGGTGAACTATCGGGCTTGTAAAAACCTGTGGAAGGCCTGCGTGGAGCACCACACGTTCTTCAGGCTGGATCGGCCCATCCCACCACAGAAGAACTTCTTCGCTCACTACTTCACCCTGGGATCAAAGTTCAGATACTGGTCAGGACAAAGATGCCACAGGCAGAGAATACATATATGATGTCATATATCCACAGAGTGAGACAGTGAATTTCCCAAAAGTAATTTCCTATCGGCCAGACTTTGACAGATTGGCTTGTAAACACACTCATTCAGACACACACACACACACACATAAATGTGCTCTGTCTACATTTCAACTCTGAATGACTCTCAGTAAACAGACTCGCATGTTTATTTGGAGGTCGATGCAGTTGTTTTCCCTTTGGGTTAAGAGGCAGAAACAGTCAGCGTGGTTACATGGATTCGAATAACTGGCTTAGTCGGACTGAAATCGAATTATCCGTTTCATGTAAACACCTTTTGTCTGACTATGTGCGGTCTGACTACGATCCGACTAACACCCCTGGATGACTTGATCCGATCCAGTTGATAGGTCGACTATTGGCGTCTTATCTCCGTTATCAAATCAGCCAATAGCGCCATTCGCATTCGCTGTACTCTTATTAACATCATGCAAAAATAGTAGAGGGATGTAGCTTCACCTTGCTCTCCGTTCGCCATCTTTCCCGTAATGTTGTTGTTGTTGTTGTTGGTAGTGGTGAAGAGGTCAAGCGGAAATGGCTGCATCACAACTAGTTGTAATGAAAACATATATTTTTGGGGGTATTTGAAGTTGGAAAGTGGGACTTAATGATCAAAATAAAGCCTTTAATATTTTACTCTGTGATGTAGTTTATCTTGGTTGGCTTCTCTATGAAATGAGAGTGAGAGGTGACCTGATGTTTTGAGGTCTTGTGATGCATTATTGAGCAGCAGTGATCCAACCCCAGCATGCTTTGCTCTGATGTTCGGCTTGACTGTCTTTTCGCTTCGTGGACTGACTTTCCTGCATGATCCACCTTTTTGAATTCAAAATTTGTGTTATTAACAGTGGTAAACATATGATAAAATTTCCATATTCTATCCGTTGTACTTGTTACCGGCTGGCCCACGGCGTTCAACTGTTAATGCCGTTGTTATTTTTACTAGTTTGTAAGATTTAATTGTAATGCAGGTTCGTTTCTGGGGAAAGGAAAAGCCACCGTGGCTTCTTGTATCATTTTGTTTGACCTTGCTGGCTCACTACAGTAAAAGTCGCAGTCCACTGAGTTTTTGTTGTATCTGTCTCCAGCGGCCGGACGGAGGTGCAGTCGGTGCAGTATGGAAAAGATAAAGGCATCAAGGACAGAGTATTTGCCAGGTAATAGACATCTTTCTCGATCAGTTCAAGGATCTACAGGAGCTTGTTTTTTTTAAATTGTTGTTTGTATTGGGTGCACAACCGTTATGAACGTCTTGTTCTAAGCAGATCACCCAGCAAGCCATTGGCCAGGAAGCTGGTGGGCGGAACTGACTGGGAGTCAGTCAGCAGGAACAGCCTATCGGATGAGAGGCTGGAGACCCAGAGCCTGCCCACTCGCTCGCCACCCGGGACTCCCACTCAGTGAGTCCCCGATTTAGCCTCGACGACAGAAATATTTTCAACACAGTGCTTTTACAGGAACTAAATTACTCAAGTCCGTAGTTTGTGTTAACTTGAAACCAGATCTGAAAAGTTGACCACTTGTTTAGTGTTAACTAGTGTTAGTCTGCCAGCTGCAGAAGACACTAAGGACATTTTATTTATTATTTTATATTTTCTACTTGAAATTGGAATAGGAATGTCCCCAAAGCCCAACTATGACCTCTGACCTCTGGCGGGATTGTTATTTCTTCCTGAGCACCCATCTAATTCTGCAGTTTGCATTCATAAAGCATTGTTTTAACTTTTAGATTCATGTGCCAATATTACATTGTTTCAGTGTTAAAACCCAGACAAGATTTAGCCTCAAGTCTTTTGTCTGATCAAAATGCTTCTGTGATTTTAATCTGAACCTCTATGAGCAGATCAGAGTAAGTCTCATGAACTAGACACCAGCTTTCTGTTGCCTTCAGTGTTTAAAAGGACACATTTTGGTCAATGCCAAGAATAAGTTTAGAGTTTGCCGTCTCAGCCCTTTGACGCTGTGTTTGTTTGTCAGGAACTCGCTGTTTGTGCAGGAGGGCACGCGGCTACGCCCCTCGTCCGTCGGCCACCTGGTCGACCACGTGATCCATGCTTCACCCAGCCTGCCTGTCTTCTCCTCCTCCAATCACAGATCAGCGTCGTCCACGCAGGCCAACAGCATCAGCCTGGACTCTCCGTGAGTCCCCAGTCTCACTTCTCTTTTCCTTCTCCTTTCTCCACGTGTTCTTTGCACACTTCCTTTAAAGACAGTGATACGGAAAACTAGCCAGCCTTTGACTTTGTGGAAGGCAAATGAGTTTCAATTTCAATGAACTGCCTCATGAATAATCCCCCACACCCTTTAATTTGGAAGTTTAATTATACTCAGCCGTGTCAGTGCCACTTTGTCTGACTGTGCTGCTGAGTCGGCTGGTCTTTTAAATGTCTGTCTGTGTGACTGTGGCTTCTCCAAACAGTTCACACCCTCTCCCAGTGTCACTTAGCCGGTCCCAGTGAAAGAGGAACCCTTTGAAAACCAGCCAGTAAAATGTGTTTATAGCGGGTAGCAGGGTGGAGAGGTTAGACAGGGCTGAAATAGGAATTAATGTGTGTGTGTTTTCCTCATGCACGCGTTATAAAATATCTGCCGTGTAAAGTTGTGGCTCTTGTATATACCTGAATATGTGTTACACAGTGTATGCAAAAGTATGTTCATACAGAGAAGACAACCAAGCATGTACACGCATTCGAGTGGAATCCCGAAATGCGCATGTACCTAGAAATGACGGAATATGAAAACATTGCGTTACTGTCTCTGAATGTCCAGATGGATCTTTTTGCCGTACTGAGCTGGAAATGAGCCACGAGCGCGGGATGCACATATGTGCAGCGGAGCGAGGCTGTAGGTGCGACGGGCTTTTTCCGTCGCCGCTATAGGAGTTTGTGCGTGCGTGCGTGTTTGTGTGAGAAAGTGAGCGAGAGGTGAGAGAATTCGGACGGAACATTTCTCAGCTGGAAATCTGAGCGGTTGAGTAACATTTCAGTGGCGCTTCCGCTGCCTACAAAGCTCCACACGCACAGAGCCGGTTGGCTCATCCGAGCCGAGCGATGACGTAATCACCTGCGCTCTCCTCCTCACACGATATCAACCCAGGTTATTTGATCTGTCTATTACGATAGTCATGAATGTTTTTATTACACACATAAGCTTCACTTTTTAAAGATGTGGAAATAAATCCTTCAGAGACTCCGATCTGAGGGTGAGCAGGACTTTCCTTATGGCAGATATAAGTATTCGGCTGAAAATATTTCAAATCTAGTTCCCTGGTTACGGTTTCAAAAAGTTGATTGTTGTTGAAATAAAAAATTCAGTGATCTTTTATCATCTCGTTTTGCTTTGGTGGCTCTGAATTTCCTTCAACCCCATTGTGATGACTTCTTAAAAGATTTCCAACCCAAATTCAGTTTGGTGTGGCGGAGCAATCAGTTCTAAATCTAATATAAAATAAACACCACCGCGCCTCAAATAGATTAGTCGGTGAGGATCTTAAAGAATCCTCTTACAATAACTGTGTTTTTTCAGGCCCATAATCCAAATTTCCCCATTGTGACTTCCCCCAAGATTTTCGTCCTATAAAAACCGAATTAGAGTCTGGTTTCTCTTCCAGAGGCCTCGGTTATACGCTGTGTCAGTTCCACTCATCAAAATACGACAAAACCATAACGCTCAGACACCCTCTCCATGGTGTTCTGTTTTTAGTTGAGCAGATTCAAAATTATCTGTTGGGCTGAACTACCACATCCCTCTGATGGTTTTTAAAATGCAGTGTGTAGGTTTTCTTGACAGCGTCGAGGAACCAAAGGTTATAATTGTATCGTACAACTGTGTAGTAACACAGCCCTGAAAGTCAAAAAATGAATCTTAATTTTGGTGGCTAGATTTAGTCTTCATCCTAATAGTTTTAGTCAACAAAAAGTCCTTAACTTAGTATTAGTTTGTCATAAACCATAATATGTATTACTTCAGCACAATTTTCATGTCCTTGTTCCATGACAAAGATTAAGGAAAGTGATGTAGTTCAGGTAAACTGAAATCCATTTCACACGTCACAGCAATGCAGGAGCCCGTTGTGTCCCCCACCCCCCCTCCCAGAGAGCTTGACCTGGTTTTGACCCACAATGCACGTTTGTTTCCGTGTGTGTATTTAAGACACTAAGTGGCCCCAGTTGCAGCAGCCAAAACAGAGTCTGCGCTCTTTGACTGGTGCTCCCGTCCCACGAGTGCCTGCTCAGAGACGCACACTCACGCAGGCATGCGTGCGCACACGCACACAGACACGCACACGCCTGCAGACTCAAGTGACTTGCTTTTAGCCGCCAGAGAGTGAGCCGGGATTCCTCTGAAAGCCTTACCTGACTGCGTTGTCCATTTCATCGCATTCACCGACTGCCTTCTACTGTCTGGGTGATGGGGGGGTCCCTCGGGTCCCTCCCTGTTGCAGCCCTTTTATTGAGGTTAATGCATTATGACTAACAAAGTGCTATTAAGCCTCTCTCTCTGGCAATATCTCTCTGTCTCTCCCCCCGCTTATCTGTTTTTCTGCCATTGTCTCCTTTTCTTTTGCTCCAGCTCGTTAACCAGCAGCATGATCTTTAGCTCGACCATTAAGGCTGGCACATGCGTCTGCGTCGTTGCGTCAACGCACTCGTTTCGATTCATGGTTCTAAAAGTCTTCCGTGTGTTGCAGAGCAATTCACCGCCAGAACAACAGGCGGAGTAACATGTTTTTGTTGAAGACGACCTAGAGAGTCACGTCTATTTATTTATTTATCATAGACTTTATCGCCCCGTGCATCGCCACTGCTGCTTTTCATCGCCGACACATTTGTCCCGTATTTTCCTCCACAACTTTGTGCACCTCTCGACCGGCAAACCGACGTTTGTGGAGATCTCCCTCCGTGACGGCTTGTATAAGCGGTCATATTTACGCATTTCTTCCGACAAAGGTTCTTCAATCAGATCCGCTCTCTCGAAAACATTCTTCGTTTTAATAATTGGGCTATGAAAGCGGAAATGTGAGAAATGTGTAGTTAGCAGACCAATCACTTTCGACGCAAGCCTAGAAAAATGTGTCGACGCACGCAAGCACGCAAGGAGGTGTGACAAGGCACGCAAGGGACACGCAAGGGGCTCTTGCGTCGGTCTGAAAACGCAGAAGCATAAACTAGGCTTTAGTCTTTGCTTTTACATGTCTGCGTGTTTTTGTCTTTGGTTTCTCGCCATTTTAAAGCACCATCATGTGGTTTCATCAAAGCTTTGGGATTCATTTAGAATTTGACGGTTGTAATAAAGTGAGACTCGACACCTCCCTCCAGGTCTCCAGAGGGGCTGGACGGCCAACCGCCAGCTCTGCCCCCCAAGCAGCTGAGCAGGAAGACGTTGAGCCAGATCATCCAGGCCCACTCGCAGCAGAGCCTCCTGGACAACCACCTCAATGAGATGTACGATGTCCCCGTCAACGCCGACAAGACCACGGTCAGTATGTCCAAGCAACACTGATACATACGTTAAAATGCCGTTAATGAAAGGTCATCTACATTGTGAGGTGGTTCTAAGTATATTTTTCATTAAGGAATGTCATTAGCAATGGAAATAAATTACAACCTAAGCCGCCTTCAAGCGGTTATTTATAGATATTTTTGTGTCGCTTTAAGTCTTTTATTCAAGATGCGAAGTGAAAATTCTACTCTTAATTCCAGAGTAGAATAGGTGGAAATAGTGTTGGAGCTGCAGCAGTCCAGTCACCCAGAGGTGGAAGGTCGGGAGGAAAGTAGAATGCAAGTTTTATTAATCTGCGTCCCACTTTGCAGCTGAATGGAGTTGTTCCTCATGACAATCTGGTCCTGATCAAGATGAGACCTGACGAACACGGACGTTTTGGCTTCAATGTCAAGGTGAGAGATGAGACAAGTTTGAAAAAAAAGTCTGTTCACTGTCCCGTCACATACACAGTATGTGTGCGTCATCAACAATCGCAACAATGCCCCTTACTCACGCTGTTCACTCGGTCTTGCCCCGTCGTGTCCAGGGTGGGGCCGACCAGAAGATGCCCATCATTGTGTCGCGGGTGGCTCCTGGAACTTCAGTAAGTCAACACTCTAAACCAACAGTGTGTTCTAATTAGTCCAGAATGTAGCACGCAGTTTGCCGAGGACACAGAAAATCTCAAGTGTGCATCAGACCGGTCTACCCAGGTTGTTGTATCCAAGCATGCAGAAGCCCTGCAACACCACAGTATCAGGCATGTCTTTAATGCCATTTAATCACTAGATGCACTTCAGACAATCTGTACGGTAAGAAATAAACTGTGTGGGTTTAGAAGATGGATGGTGAATAAAACATGAGTTCCAAAGTCACGTTGTGAGCGTGCTACTGCCGTAGAGGACGAGACAAAAGGCACCAATGTCCATTTTGTTATGAAATGCAACGTGTGGTTATCTGCCCCCCCCCTCCTCCTTCAGGCCGACCTGTGTGTGCCTCGCCTTAACGAGGGAGACCAGGTAGTCTTAATTAATGGACGGGATATCTCTGACCACACCCATGACCAGGTGGTCATGTTCATCAAAGCCAGCTGCGAGAGTCATTCCGGAGAGCTCATCCTATTGGTCAGACCAAATGGTAAGTTGTCCCCATTGGTTGGATCTTTCACAGTTCAACTTGAGATGCGTCACCTTAAGAGGTCCTTTTAAATCGATGCTGTCCCATCAAAGCAATCCACAGTGTGAACAGGTCGCCATTTCATACGCTGTGTGTCCATACATGAGGTGACATATTTCCTCTCTGTCCCACTCAGCCATCTATGACGTGGTGGAGGAGAAGGTGGACTCCGAGCCAGACTTTCAGTACATCCCTGAGAAGTGCCCTCAGGACCCCGCCCAGCTAGACCAGCATGCTTTGAGGGACTCCATGGTCACGCTGAAGGAAGGCCTGAGCAGCGGAGCCATACTCGCTCAGTTCGATGTAAGATAAGATAAAAACACAAACGTAAACATGTGCATACATGCTTCCACAGACACATTGAAATTGTCCTTCATGTTCATTTGACATGAATTTGTGTTCCTTTCCTTGCAGCAACTGTACAGGAAGAGGCCCGGGATGACCATGCTGTGTGCCAAATTACCTCAGAACGTTTCCAAAAATCGCTACAGAGACATCTCTCCTTGTACGTGACTGTCTGCACGTTTGTTCACACATGAACCGACTTCACTGATGCTCTCTCCCGCGACCCCCGTGTTCGCCTCCCCCCACCTGAAATATGTTCTTTCAATGCTTGTCAATTGTCTTTCTGTAATCCCCCCTTTCTTTCTTTCTTCTCTCCCTCTCTGCAGATGATGCCACGCGGGTTATTCTGAAAAGCACAGATGACTACATAAATGCAAATTACATCAATGTGAGTTTGTTGCTGTGTTATCCTGCTGCCGGTATCTGAGCCGCGGTGGGTGGTCTGTTCGGCTAACCATCAAAACACATGTTGGAACACTTTGGTCGCCTTAACTGGTGAACGAATTAACCGCATGAGCTTTAAAAGCCAGTAACATTGTGAGTTCTTCTTTTGCTCGGTAGCTCATGCATGTTATTGAAGCCCCATTCAGATATACCTTAATCGTTGTTCCCTAAATGCCCTGTTATGGGTGCGCCTGGACATGTGTGGTGGCAAAGCAAACGCCGATGAGTTGGAAGGCAATGATGCGGCCGAACAAAGATGTGTTCATTTTTCTCACATGCTGCACCAAAGAAACTTGTTTCACATCTTAATGATTGTTTATCTCTACGGCCTAATTAATGATCAGCGTGAAGGACACCCGCCCCCGCTTCTCACTCGTCTAATCAAGCCGTTAAATCCACTTCGAGTTTCTCATCAATGTCATCATTAATTGGATGTAACACATGCTGCTGCCTTTTGTCAAGCTGAGAGACAAGCAGTGTTAATAATCACAAGACGTTCGGTTTCACATTTAATTTCTATTCCTCTGTGAAGTTTTTGTTTTCTCTACAAGAATTAAAAAAACAAAAACATGAGGAATGTACAGCAGTGTACTTCTAAATATTTAGTATTGTTTAGTGGCATGTAATTCAATCTTTAGTGTCACTACAATGTCAGAGGCTGTAGAAATGTTTCTACCTCAAAACAACCTGAGAACATTTATCTCTCTGCACTTCGGAGAACGAGCTCTGAAGTGAAACCCTTGCAACTGAATATCTCTGCAGATGGAGATTCCAGCCTCGAGTCTTATAAACCGCTACATCGCGTGCCAGGGCCCGCTGCCCAACACCTGCCCCGACTTCTGGCAGATGACCTGGGAGCAGGGCTCGTCTATGGTGGTCATGCTGACTACGCAGGTCGAGAGGGGACGGGTACGTAGAGGAATTCTTCACAGACAAGGACTGGAAACCACATTTGAACTGCAGTATGTTGGACAGAAATGTGTTCAAACCAAATACCTTTGCTGTACATGTGGCATTGCTTTGAATTCCTCAAACCTGATAAACACATTTTTACCTGTTTTGTAGTGAAACATACATTATGAATATTTTAAAACTTAAGCAAATTGTGTCTTGATTATGTGAATATTGTTAATTCAAAATGGAAAGCATGCATTGTTGCTTATTTAGAGTTTAGTAGCAAAACAAAAGACCTGCGTCAGAACATTTTAAAATCATACATGCCTTTTGTTTTTTTTAATGATTTCAGATGTATTCTATTTAAATGTCGTATGTCGGTGTTTTTAACTGACTAGATTCCTACCTTAAGTGATATGCTCTTCTGTGACGGACCATGACCTCTGACCCCAGACCTGAGAGTAACACTAGTGACATCTTAAGCGTATTAACTGTTCAGTTGTAAACCGAACTGGTGTCTGTGTTTAAAGGTGAAGTGTCACCAGTACTGGCCGAATCCAGGCAGCAGCGCCACCTACGGAGACTTTACAGTTACATGCCACAATGAAGAAGGCAACACTGCCTTCCTGGTCCGAGAGATGAGTCTCACAAACACACAGGTAACCACAAACACACGCACACATAAGAGAAACGGTGCCCAACAGAAAAGGACAGTGAGGTCTGAATCCAGAGGAGAGAACTGGAGCAGGATAGAGACGAGGCCAGAGGCATCACAGAGAAACAGCGCTGTGTCCAATCAAAGCCGGGGACCAGCGTCTCAGGAAGGATGAGCCTGCTGAGGACCCCGAGGAGGTGTGTTGCCATGGTGACCAGTGTGGGCTGTTCTTTTTCTGGCTCCCACAGTTGCATGCTGGCCACGTATTGGGATCTGGTTACCATGACAACCCAACCGCCCCAGTCGGTCACATCGCTCTCTGAAATAAAGCGCGAGGGAGAGAAAGCGCACCGGGCGAGGGAGGAACAGGGAGTGGGACGGTGGTAGTTAAAAGAGCACAGTTTCTTATCTTAATGTCGACAACTTTCGATGCTCACAGTCGTACTTCAGTTCATGACGCAACGCGGCGGTACAGAAGGAAAAAGCTGAATTGAACGTTAACTTTTAACGGATAATCGTGTGTTACTGCTGTTTTCTCATCAGGCGCTGCGGTCGGTGTGTTCCTGATTAGTTATCTGTGCGCTGCCCGTGCGTCGTGACCTTTTGGAATATATAGCTGTAGGAGGAGGCAATTAGCAGTCTCCTCTGCCTGTGATTGTTGCTATGGAGATAGATGTGTTACCATGGCAAGGCAGTATGACAGAGGAAGACAGCGGTCTTCATCTCACTCCTTTTGTTTATACAATCTTTATTTTCTGAATGAACAAGACTTATGTTTAATTTCAGTTTTACAGCAGCAACAGAAAAATGTACATTTCTCTGGATGTTGCAGAGCTATAGAAAATATTGTGTTGTTTTTATTAAATGGGCAACCACAACAACAAAACGAATCCCCAAGTGCTCCAGCAGAGTGGAAGAAATAAAACCACCGTTTGTTATTCACACCGCCGCTTCAGAGCGCATTCAATTACACAAACAGGATGCTGTGCGGTGAGCTCAGTGGAACATGCTAGGAGGTCGCCCACATGAAATACAATAACCTGCTCGGGGTTCAGAGGATGGGTGATCTGATCAATTCATTACTGAGTGAGCTTGGGTCATGACTGAGGTGAGAGCGGATGCCCTCAGTTTGTTTATGATTGTACATGTATCCAATTTACAATTTCTGAAAGGGACATGAAATTATGATGTGAAATCATTTGTGTGTGTGTGTGTGTGTGTGTGTGTGTGCGTGTGTGTGTGTGTGTGTGTTCAGAGTGAGCAGGAGAGAGAGCTCACCCAGATTCAGTACCTGGCATGGCCGGATCACGGCGTACCAGATGACTCCACCGACTTCCTGGACTTTGTGGCTCTGGTGCGAACCAAGCGTGCCGGACAGAACCAGCCGATGGTGGTGCACTGCAGGTATACCCCCCCCTCCCCCTACACACACACACACACACACACACACAGACACAGACACCCTGAATCATGCGGCTCAACGTTGATGTACAGGCAAACTGTACTCATTTCCACTCAATTCTCCGCGGCCCGTCCCGTTTACAGTGCGGGCATCGGGCCGGACCGGGGGTTCTGATCACCATGGAGACGGCGCTGTGTCTAATGGAGTGCGCCCAGCCGGTGTACCCTCTGGATATCGTCAGGAACCATGCGAGACCAGAGGGCCATGATGATACAAACGCCGGTATGTGGACACCTCCCTTTGTCCGTCTCGCTGCTCTCATCCTCTTTGATCCGTCAGTCAACAACCTCTTTGTCCATCTCACCATCAGAGCCAGTACCGATTTGTGTGCGAGGCCATCCTGAAGGTCTTCGAGGAGGGCCTGGTCAAACCAGTCAAGACCGTCGTCTACCAGCTGAGAGAAAAGGTGGAGGAGGAGGAGGGACAGGTGGAGGAGGAGCAGCAGACTGCAGGGGAAGGAGCAGAGACTGCGGCGCCGGAGGACGTGGCTGTGGTGGAGTTGCTGGAAGGAGGTCTGGATGAAGAGGAGGAGGACGACGACGAAGAGGTGGAGGTGCTGGATGTGGGGGAAGTGACAGAAGACGGGGAGGAGGATGAAGATGAGGTGGAGGAGCCGAGCGTTGCGAGTGTCTCAAGCGTTCCAAGCATCGCGAGCGCCATCAGCGAGACCAGCGTGAACCCTGACGCTGACAACCCTTGACTTTTGACCTTTGGTTGTCATGGGGGTTGCCAGGAGGAGGCCAGGTGGGCCGGAGGAGAGAACAAAAGCACTGTTGCACTTTATGCTGACAAAAACAGAGAAATAAGACACGACACAAACAAACTTACGCGAAAGTCACGGACAAGCTCGACATTTAAAAAAAAGCAACCCAGCTGTGTTGAATAGGTACCGTTAGTGGATATTGTATGTTCAGGGTAAAGAAAAAAAGTCACAGAAAGAATCAAAAGTTAAGCGTACGAGAGAACAACACGTGGACGGGGAGTTGCTGTAGTGCCATAAGTACGAAGAGGAGGGGCCGGCCCCGTGGACGAAGGTCGCCTGGTCCCCTTCTGAGGCGAGTCTGCCAGACGGACCTGCCTTTTTTTTTTTTTTTAATGTGTCCTTTTAGCTGATAAAGAGATATACCTTATCTTTTGTTCCTCAGAAAGAGTATTTATTGTGTTTTAGTTTGTGTCAAACCCTGTCCACTGAAGAAAAAAACAAAAAAAGACTTGTATGTTTGTTTGTATGAATCTAGAGCTTCATGCTTTCCTGATTAAATCCTAGGTAGTACAGTAGTGCGTTTCCTCTTCTAACTACTTTATTTCTTTTGCTTTTTGTGAAAAAAAAAGAACTGATTTAATTTATTGTACTTCTCAGCTCAGCTTTCTGGTCTAAATTTCTGCCCCACCCCCACACACACACACCTCCCACTAGAAGATTCTAACTCTCAACTGCGATCAATCTTTCTTAACAGATTTTTGCCACTTCTTTGGCGTGATGCGTTCGGGGCTGAGGTCAGTTCACGTCCTTATTTAAGCTCCTGCTTAAATCGAAGCCGGGGTCCCTGCTGAAGTGTCCTTGAGCCAGACACTACCCGCCAACCCCTCCGTGTGCGCGACGCTGTCAGCTTACCACGGCGGTATCACCAACAAGTCCTGTGAAAGTCGCTCTCGCAGTCAGCATTTTGTTTTTAGAATTGCTTCTTCTGGGCGGGGGGGGGCGGACTTTCAACGTGCCCCCTGCCGCCCCCCTTTTGCTTCACGTAAACGGGGAATAGACATTTTAACATCGCAGACGGGAGCAAACCCCGGACGGATGCAGTTGAGCTGCTGGCTCCTCGCTCCGTGTGACTCGGTAGTGGGCAGGGCCGGTTCAGAGGTCATTGATGCCTCCCCGATGGTACTTTGTTTGTATTTTCAAATCACAAAACGCTGCATCGAGTTGCCTGTTGAATCTTTTTCTTTTTCTGCCGAAGTGGCGTTTGAGCTGCCGTCGTACTTTACACCGTGCAGTGGAATGCAGTGTAGCCTCTTAGATGCCGGCTGCTTCAGTACCTGCCGTAAAAGCAAACAAAAACCTACTGCTGTGAGAGAGTGTGTGTGTGTGTGTGTGTGTGTGTGTGTGTGTGTGAGAACTCAGATTTCTGTCTTTATCTTTCTCTGTTCTTCTCCCTTCTGCGTTTCTATGACGTGTTGTTTATCTGTCTGGTCTGCGCCTGCTTGTCAGTCAACTGGAACGAAGGGTTGTGCCATGAAGCTACAAACCTAATCCAACCTGATCTCAAAGGTTTTATTCTAATGAAACTCTGAGCCTTTTTATTTTATTTCCTTTAGTCTGTCCTGCGAACTGGGTTGAAACGTTGCTTGTGAAACATTAAAAAACGAAATCGTATCTCCCCCCTTTTAAAACCGACTGGTCCCACTTTTAGCACGCAGAGGGGCCGAGCTTTCTTCTTCTCTGATTGCGGAACCTCTCCCAAAATTGGCCAGGCTCCTCCTCTCTGGCAACGTCATTCACTCCCACAGAGCCCACGCTACGTGCGCGGCCCGTTCTCCTCGTTGTTCCTTCCCAGAAGCCTCTCTGGCGGATCGTTGCACGCAGAGCCGTCTCCCTCTGCACGGCCTCCAGGCGAGTGACACATCTGGGTGGACGGCTGTGGGTATCGGCGGTGCGGCATCGCGCTTGTTTTCCACAGGAAACACAGTGGGCAGCGAGTGGATGAGCCAACAACTGGCTTAAACCTCCTTCTTTTATCCTTTAACACATTGGCCGACTGTTCGCGTACGAGCTCTAAATCAAACACAAGGAGCACTCTGTGGCTTTATGTCGCCACCACCTCAAATCGAATTAACGGCAAAGGCTTCTTATAAAGTGGCATCAAAGGCGAGTTCCCCCCCCCCCCCCCACACACACACACACACACGAGACTATACCATTTCAAACATGAAAATGAAACATGGACCCCTGCGGTGAATAATGAATAAATCTATTTCCATCTGCACAAACTATCCAGTAACGAGCTGTTTGGGTTCAAAGTGTTTAGTTGTTGACGCGTCATTGGTACACTCGTTTGAGTGCGTTAGGGTACTGATCAGAGGGAGTGTGGACCGGGGGGGTCATCATGTATTTATGTAGAGATGCAAACAGCCCAGTTGGATAAGGACGGCGTTTAGTAGGAGGCTGAATGGCAAGTAGTGCTGAGGGGTAAAGACATGACGCATTGTTGAAATGAGTTGTTTTGAGGGGGGGATTTGACATCTTTTTTTCTTTTTTGGTTTAAAAATAAAGTATGTAGGGAACAAGAAAAAAAGAACTCCTAACTACACAGTGCCACTTGTTAATTTTGTGTAAATAATACTAGACCATGTAAATACAATGTTGTATATGAAAAAAATCTTTAAAATAAAAGGGAAAATCGTTTGTGAGCAGAAAGATTTTGTTTTACTTTTGTTTTTTTCCTTTTCCCTTCTGGATGTGACACAATTGGTGTGTAATCTCAAGACTGCTATTTTAACATTTTTGTTTTGTTTGAGACGTTATCTATTACAGCGAGTGTATATACAACAAAACACAAACCATGAGAACTGTTTTACCGTATTATATCCTTGGTTAACCCCTTCCTGTGTCATAAAAACCTTTTTGTCCTCAGTTGCTTGTTTCTTTCTGCCATCGCGGTTCACAGGGATTCGTCTAAAAGCTCAAATGTGAACAATTTAAAGCTCGTCTGTCAAAGCAGAGCCCCTTGTGTTTCCACACTGAAAGTGAGGTTAGGCACTTCAGGAAGCCAAAGCGCTTTAAAGAAAAAATTGGAAAGACGATTCTGAGTTGTGAGGAAGGTTGTCTGTGAAGACGATCTGCTAAATAAACCGCGTCATCTTGAAAGAGCGGTACGGGGCTTATTTTAAACCTCAAAACATTATTAAAGATAACAGTAAAAAAAAAAATCAAATAACAATCATGACATTTTATTGCATTCCTTCACACACATTTACTTCAGCTTTATTTAACACAAAGGTACATATAGAAGGAAAAAGTAACTGAGCGGTTGCCACAAAATGAGACACTATGGTTAATAAGAATCCAGTCTTAGAATCTTTTAATTCATATACCGATTGAAGAGAACAGGTGACTGTTCGGTTTACTGGCACCTATCCAATGCCGTCAAAAAGACCCTTAAAACATGAAAGTACTTGTTTGTTTGTAGAAACTTATGTCTCTTTACGATGACCTCCGAACCCAAACGGGACCACGAGCTGGGCACGTTTTCTAAACCGTTATTCCCAAACGAACCACGAGGGGGTGCTGCTGTTTAACGGTGGCGACGCGCTGTGTCTCAAATTCATAAATGTGAGGCGGATATCTTCAAACAGGATGCCAGCCATTCCATAAGCGTGTGGTTATTTATATACTAGACAATTTATAACGCTATTTTATGTCCAAATCGAAAAATACGCCCATTTATTGTGCCCTGGTATTACATATAAACCTGCGGGGGCAACACTTTAATTGTGTGTGTGTTTTTTTAAGTGAGGGAAACCCACAATCATAATATTTAATTTACAATGCCAGCAAATAGAACCGCTTGTCCCTTTAAAAATGCAAATTAACGTTACGTTTTTGTTAGGGATTTATAGTGACGTCACATCCTGAAGAAAGCTTTGCCTCCTACTTTTTGTCGGGACCAGGGAGAAAACCATCCCGCAGAGGTAAACGCGGTGGGGAGAAAAAAAGAAGAAGAGGAACAAGTTACAAACGGGGCTGCGGTTTAGTCGTCTACCATGCAAGCGGACGTCCTCTCGCCGTGAATTAATTATTTTTGTAAGTACCGTGGTTGTCTCAGACCTCCAAGGGGATCCACAAGTGGCCGCGGAGCAAGTGCACCGTCGGTTACGGCTTTCTGAGCGAAGGACGACGTTTGTTTTGCGGTACCGGGACACGCTCGAACGGTCCGGAGCCTCGAGTGCTTTGTTTGGGTTAGTTGTCGACGGTTAACTCGGGCTGTAGAAACAAGCGCACACCTGTTGCTCTTTCGCTTACAGCCTCAACGTCCCCTCAGGCCTCAACTGACTGCAACTGTGATGCTATGGGTCGTCGTTAATTCGTGTGTCCGTTTGGATTGTTAATGTTGATATTATTTCAGCGCAATTATGTTGAAGTCTTTGTTCCAGATTTTATACTGCCGATTCTAGCGGTTTCTCCTCCTGACCCGAACCCAAAAATTGGGAGCTAACCTTGGTTTTGCTCATCTTCAAAGTCTGCTGGTTAGCTAACGAGATCCTAAATGAATGTTCTTGGTACTAACTTGGTTTCCTTTTATTATTTTAATAGAAAACCCGTAATATAAAAGCAAAAATAACATTTTAATTTATGTAATAAAGCGCCCCCCCCTCCGTCCTGACTGGTTTTAGTTTAGTTTTTACTTGAATGGTCAAAGTATCGCCATGAAACTATTCGCTAACCGTCAAGCTAACGTGACGTGATATCGAACCGGTTACCAAGGTAATGGTAACTGTGGGATACTTTTGGTTAGTGGAGCTCAAACGTATTCACGTGAACAGGATACATATTTTAATACAAATTCTCCCTTTCCCGCAGATTTTATCGTTACGTTATCAAATATGTAGAAACTAACCTGGCTAGCAAACGAGTAACTGATTTTACGTGCACAAGTCGTAGGCAGGCTAACTACCTAGCTAACGCTAACTTAACAATAAGGCCAAATACGGATGATGATGCCTCGCCTGGTCCCAACGTATTAAATCATTTTTATCTGACGTTGTATGATGATACAAACTAATGGCTGCACCGTTAGGTTGTAGTTTGTCAGCTGGCAACGCAAAAGTCTACCACATACAAAACAGCTTAACCTTTTCTGTGGTCATAGTAAACACAAACGGAACATTCTGCATGTATTCATACCTTCTCTCTCTTCTTCTCTCTTACAGGTGTGGCAGTGTAACCCTCTTCCCTCTCCCCCCCCCCACTCTCCCATAATGCTCAGTTTCCTGCGCAGGACGCTGGGCAGACGGTCCATCCGGAAACATGCAGAGAAAAGTCGGTTACGGGAGGCCCAGCGAGCCACGACGCACATCCCCGCTGCCGGGGATGCAAAGTCTGTCATCACCTGCCGCGTGTCCTTACTGGACGGGACGGACGTCAGCGTCGACCTGCCGGTGAGGAGGGTTGCTCGTACGTGCGTGTACATTATGCCCCAGCGTGGATTTTAACCGCGATCACCGACCAGATGATCGTTAATCTCCAGGCATCATTTTTGGAAATAATTATTTCTTGTGTACTAGATTTGAGTGAGCAGCAGTGTGTCATAACATTTATATATTTATGAGAACGCTGGAGAGGCAACTGACAAGAGTTGTATTGTTTGTGTGTGTGTGTGTGTGTGTGTGTGATGTAATGTGTGGTGTAGCGTGTTACTCTTGCTGATCACCTGTAATTCTATTATCCTTTATCTGTTTGATCACATGACTGCATCACATGACGTGCAGGGCTCCTCACCAAGTGGACACAAAGCAGAACTTCACTCTCCCCACATCTTCTATTTTTGCTCCATTCTCATGTTGCGTTAAATGTTTCTTAAACAAACAACGGATTTTTGTGGTAGAAAGTGAAATGTAATTGTAATCTGATTTAAGAACGGAAGGCATGAATATACAGATATTTTATCTTCATCCCTAGATCTTTAGTGTTGCTGCTGTTGAATCTGCAGCATTTCCGAGAGGCCACTAGTATCTAACTATCCCTATCAATCTTGAAATTTAGCCATTTGCAATATCTTCATTATTATTATTACTTTGTGTCCTTGGTTTTACACTTCTTATTTCTTTATTTCTCCTCATTTGGCAAGCGGTTATTGTCTATATAGGTTGTTAGTTAATGTGCGAGACCAAGCAGGGATACGTTGAGGTGGTAAATGAAACTGGGATCAACCAGGATCCTTGAATTTGCTTCCAGCTTATTGGGCGAGAATGCGTGAACATATTTTTATTCAGCGTGTCTCACAAGAGAAGTCGCACATTTTTGATTTGTCGGTCTAAGCTGCCAAATCATAAACACGTAATCCTTCCTGTCAGTAGAGAAGTTACTCATGCAGTCTCCCACTGGAACTTGTGCCGAGCTCGTTCACCTGTAGGAGTTTTCATGTTTCCTATTTCATTGATGCAGTTCATTAACTTTATGCTGGAAAGTGTGCTTTTCAAAACTCAGTCGTTGTCCGCTGGGTGTGCCTGAAGGAAGTTTTATACTGTGAGATTCCTTTTCCATTAAATCCACTTATGTTTTAGGTGACAGTCCCCATTTAGTTATTTCTTCGCCTAAAAACGGAATCTAAAGCCTCTGTTGTGTCAGTGTTTTTTTTAACTTTATTCCACTAGGTGCACGTGTCCACATCGCAGTGCCTCGCCATTAAAAAGTTCAGTGTTTTGAGAGAGAATCTGCCATTGCTGTAAGAAGCGGTACAGAAAATAACCCCCCCCCCTTTTTTTTCTTTCCCTGGAGCAGAACTCCAAGTAAAATGTGATTAATTAAGAGAACTGTATCAACATAATGCGTGTTCCACCCTCGGGCGCATTGGTGCTTTTGAGTGGATTGTTGTTGTTGTCCTATTCTGGCCTAGCGTTCCTTCTCTGGTCTCTGGATACGCTGTTGACCGTTCCAGGAGGAACCGTACAGACGCATCTTTTGACAGTAGAAAAGGAATCCGAGCCGATTTGCATCAAAAAAGTTGTGGCTTCACACGATCAGTTTCAGCCATACCTTCATTTAGTGACTGAGAGAAAATGTTAAACTCAGCACGTTACTGGGAGTCTTTCGCAGCTTTAGCATGTTGTCCGTTACGAAGACCATATTTTTTGGTGTAGTTTGGATTCAGACTGACGTACCCCTAGGGAGACCTTTGTTCTGTGGCCTCCTTCTCCAAACATAATTCCACACAGCCTTATGATTCACATTCCTCCCTGTTTGAAATGTATTTACTTCCTTGTCTTTTCTCTTTATCTGCCCCCCCCCCACCCCTTCTCCATCTTCCTTTTCTCTTCTTGTCATTGTTGTGCAGTAATCATCTACGTTACGCATCAACGCAAAAGTCTGGCACATGCAAGATTTATTTATTATGACGCAAAGCAAGTCTTCTGTTGATGTCACTGCATCAATCCACTGAATTTAATTTCTTCTGCTCTGTGTTCCGACCACATGGATGTGACTGTGTTGTCTTGGAGGTACTGCAGGTTGAAAACACAACCATCATGTGTTGGTCTTTGTGTGGTTGAACGACTCTTGCTCGGGTGAGTGAGCAGTCATGTTTGGATACCTTATCCTTTGTTTAACCCGGGTATGTTAAACCTTATCTCTTGCAGCGTAATGGGTAAACCATTTCCCAGGGATATAGAAGAAGTTATAGGTTAAGCTGTTTTTATTCCCATACATAAAGTGTCCGAAGCACAGTCTTCCTTCCTCAAAGTGCCCTTGTGTGTTGCTACGCCGGGTGGTTGAACAGACTTTTGAATTGTAGTGAATGGAAGCATCATCTAAATACCTCAATGTAACTGAGACACCGAGCTGGATGCTCACAGGCCGGCAGAAAGACTGCAAACAGAGAACAATGCTGCAGGCAGTAAAACAAGGTCTTTGGTGCAGCGCACACAATGAGCCCTTTGTACTCTCTCTCTCTGGGTACTGTAGGGGTGCGGTATGCCAGCTAGCATGTAGCCAGCCCCCCTCACCAGTCTCCCCCGAGCTGCCCAGGAGTCTCTCTGGGTGGGAGGTAGAATGTGGACCCTCTCCTTACCTCATGCATCGTTTCTTCTTTATGGACCGTGTGAATTTGTTCCCGATTTCTGTGGGTACAATTTAGCACATAGTTTATTAAACCGACTGTGCGTTGCTGCTGGAACCGACATTTAAGCTGAGTGGCGTGATCTCACTCGTTTAGGAAACAGTGTATTTTTGGGAAAACGACCATATAATCACTTTGGTATTGTTGACAAAGTGACGTCTCCTCTGAAAGAGTCATAGTGTTAAGTTGATGTACTAGTTTGCAATAACCCATTAAACAAGTGCACAAGGAAGCCTTGCTTACGCCTCCTGACTGCTGACATGCTGGTGTCATGAATGCCTTTAGTAGCTGTGTGAGGTTTGATGTTCACACAAAGAAAAGGTACATTTCAGATGCTGTGGCGCCAACAGGCTTTAGATGTTTCCACACGCAAAATTCAATTCCAGATTCGTTTTGAGCGCGAGAGAAGATCTGAATGAGGAATGTATTTATTTTAACGCGAGAGCCTGATCTTTGACGTCCTGAGCCAAATGATCACATGATCTGTCCAGCCACCCAAATTCCCTCTGCGTCTGGGGCGCTTCAGTCCCGGTTACCACGGTAACCCTGTGCCTCATGGTGGGGTTTGGAAGGTGCGTGTGTGCGCATGTGAGGGAGAGATATCCCAGACAGAACGCAGGCAGTAACTGGTACGGCCTCGTCTGAAAGGGCCACACCTGTTAACATTTTCTTTAATGTTCATATCTCTCTTTTTAAATCAACACAACTCTGAGAATGTGATGTGCTTCAAAACAATATTTTCAGATGGGTTTTTTTCTCAGGTCTTTTGGAGTTGTAAACTTCTAGAGACAAATCCAAAACACAAACGACATGCAAACAATTACATGGAATTGTAGTCCTTTTTTTTTTTTTTTTTTCTTTTTTTTTTGCACATAAATAAATAACTGCTTGGAAAAAGGACAACAGAGAAGTTCAAACTGCTCCAGGATGTGATGGAGGGAAACATGTATTAAATGCATTGGTGAGACGCTGACATACATTAAGCCAACAACATTGTTCGTGAGAGTCACAGCTGTGTTGCAGTTTCCTAAATTAACCCGAGGTTCTCGATGTATTAATCTTCCTGAGACTCATTGCTCCTTTTATGGTGCTTTGTGACGTACGAACAGCAAATGACCACCTTCACGGGTTTAAATATTCACTCACTTTGTTTTCATTCCCACTAGTTTAGAACTTGTAATCCTGCTCGGGATGATATCTCACTTTGTGTGTGTGTGTGTGTGTGTGTGTGTGTGTGTGTGTGTGTGTGTGTGTGTGTGTGTGTGTGTCACTGTCCCTGTCCCTGATCAGAAAAAAGCAAAAGGTGAGGAGCTGTTTGACCAGATCATGTACCACCTGGACATCGTGGAGAAAGACTACTTCGGGCTGCGCTTCATGGACTCTGCACAAGTGCCGGTAAGAATAGAGATTACACAATGACCCCACTGTTTGTTTGTTTTGTAGAAGCAGGTGTCAAGATTATTTTAGTTTATTTACTGAACTGAACATTTGGATACAAGTGTGATTAGAACTGTTTTACGTTTTTATCGTTTCGGGCCTCAGCTCCTCAGCTGACGTTCAAAGTCAAACTCACGATTTCAGTCTAAATCACCATTCACCCGTTTGAAGAGAGGCGCTGGGCAGGGCCCCCCCCGCCCCGTTGTGGATGGGCTAACGGGATTGGTTCTGGGTCTCTTGTCAGCGCTCCGAGTCAGGCCGAGTCTGACTGAGACAAACTGTTTCAAGTCGCTGGTCTGCCAGTTCCTTCACGCTGATGCACTGTGAAGCCGGTGTGAGGACGTAGCTGAGGGGGTGGAGGTAGAGAATCAAAAGGGTGGGGGAGGTGGGGGGGTGTCTGTGATGAGGAATGTGGGGGAGAGGAGACTAGCGAGTGCTGCGAGTCCCTCTGTTATCTCTCCTTACGTGCAGGCACACAAACACCACCACTGCCGCCTCTCTTTGACATTTTTCATGCCTCACAGAGCCTGAACTTCCAAGAAGAATTAAAGAATTATTGCACAGAACACTGACTTTAGAGTGTGTGTGTGTACTCACACAGCTGTCTTTGTGAGGACCGTTTGGACTCGTTTTAGGGTAGGATGTTGGTTAGGCGTTTTTTCTTGGGATAGGATCCAGGTTTTGGTAAAGCATTATGTCATTGAGTATCCTCACAAAGACAAAAGCACACATGTTGTGTGTTTGTGTTGCATTTCCAGATATAAATATTTCATGTTTGTAAATTCAATAAAGAAGTTTAATAGTTTATTCTACTTGTGAGATTTAATTGGCATGTGCATTGTTTTTTCATCTCTACGTCGTTGAAGCTGCTGTATTTTTTTAAAAACTTTTTTTTTAATCACCTTTGTTGTTTCAGCACTGGCTTGATGTTACAAAAAGTATCAAAAAACAAGTGAAAAGTAAGTACACCTCAACACACATGCTTACTTTCTATACCTTTTTAAACATCCTATTGCATTAGACATTAATGTTCTTAAATATGTTTTTAATAAAACACTGTAAATAAATGTGCTGCATCTGGTGTTTAAGACAGTTTATTAAAACAAAATGTCAGCCTGGTATTTCTGCTATCACAAGTCCATAATATTTACTCAACTGTCAGTTTGATCCTTCTTTTTTCAGTCGGCCCACCGTACTGCCTCCACCTGAGGGTGAAGTTTTACTCCTCAGAACCAAACAACCTGCACGAGGAGCTCACCAGGTGAGTCAAGTCACAGACATCGGAATTCATTTCCTCGCTTTCTTTACTAATTTTTGGTTTGATGTTTCTGTAACATTTTAAATAAAATTGCCATATTGATTTACGTTTCATCACCATATCGAACTGCATTGTTTTGTTTGTTTTCTTTCAGATACCTCTTTGTGTTACAGTTAAAGCAAGACATCCTCAGTGGCAAGTAAGTCCTTTCCTGGGTTTTAACTCTTACTCCAACTTGATGAAATAACACTTGTCACTTGGTGTGACAGAGAAAGATTTGATTGTTTCACAATATTAAACAATCCGTTCCATATTCTGGCAGCACATGCGTGGTTTGTATAGAAATATATCTATTAACTCTGATCATCAAGTGGCCTGTGAATACGCTATTGTAATAGTGTTTGAAGGGAAACATTGTGGCTGAATGATAATGGTAATACGTGGTGTAGGCCTCAGTGAGGATCATATGGGAATGTTTTGGCCTGTGTGAAGTGTTTTAAGCTTCATCGATGTCGCTGACTCTCACGTGTTTGTACTTTCAGGCTAGAATGTCCGTTTGACACGGCGGTGGAGCTGGCTGCCTTCTCGCTACAGGGTAAGCACAGCGGCGATCCAGGATTCTCTCCACCTCGGCCTTCTTAATTGGGATCGCCTCTGAAATAGCTGCTGTTATTTAGTGTTTTGCAGTGCACCCTTTTGGAGAGCGGAGAGATCTTTTAATTCTGTCCATAAAGATCTGTTTCAACCTTGACACAGCCGACATGCTCTAAACTCACTATGAGCTTCTCTCCCTGTTTAAAGTTTAAAATGATCCTGGACCCAAGTGCAAACTTATTTCATCTTTGTTAACTTGACTCTTTGGCTAGAAAACTAAAGGGACATTTATATTATAGTACCTCACCTCTTAATTCAATAAGTATTGTCAGTCAGAAGTCCACTTACATTTAATATGGAGCAGAAAGCGACTGATCTTCTACCAAACGAGCCATAGAAAAAAGCCCATACCTTTTTAGTATTTGTTATAAATGCAGCGTTTAGAGTGCTGCTCCGTAGGGACAAAGTGTGGCTCATTAGAGACGTTCGTTGAATGGGATTGCGTGCACAGACTCTTGAGCGCACACACACACTCGGTCACTGTGGGGTAAATGCCAGCTCATTAGTGCTCCCTCCTCTCCGGAGGCCCCCTAATCCAGCTTTCTTTCTGTCTCCTCTTTCCTTCGGTTGAGCGTCCTCCTCATTTTCCTATATTCAAAATGACGTTTTAGTCCCCGGACAGTTTTTTCTCCTCCCGATACCCTGAGGCTGTCCCCACATCTGGACTAGCTCAACAGAGAGGCCCCGATTGCTCCTATCTACCCGAATGCAATCCGAACCCAGGCTTCTCAGTCTCTGTCCTACTTCTCTGCGCCACTGTACGCGTATCTCAGGAATGTTAAATCTTCAGTTCATTGACTACCAGTCGGCATGCGATACAGCATACAGCAGCCTCAACGGAATCTGCCTTGTGAAAACATGTGGCTCTCGGTGTGAACTAAGCGTGCATGCCGGTGTGTTTTCAGCTGAGCTCGGGGATTGCGACCCATTAGAACACAATCTGGACCTGGTGTCAGAGTTTCGTTTCACCCCCAACCAGACAGAGGACGTGGAGCTGGAGATCTACAACAAGTGGAAGGAGTGCAGGTAAGAAACTGCCCGTGTGAACAGCGAGTTCAAGCGAATTTCAATAAAGAGGATTCATTTAGACAATGGCCACAGAAGGCAGATATCTGATGATGATGATGATGATTATAATCATTCTAAAGGGATGTACTTCAGTGTGTTGACGTTATGCCGGCCGTCTGTCTCGCCCCTGCAGCTGCCGGGGATGTTTTTGAGCATACAGAAATGTCTTCCTGTTTTTGTTTCACCTCCCTGTCCCTCCTTTCTTTCAGAGGTCAGATGCCAGCCCAAGCTGAAATTAACTACCTGAATAAAGCCAAGTGGCTGGAAATGTATGGTGTGGACATGCACATGGTCAAGGTAACCGACACGCACTTTTCCCCACTGCCGTGACCTGTTTACCCTTTTGCTCTTCTACACATCCCTTTTTCCGTTCTCTGCCATGCAGGCAAGAGACGGTAATGAGTACAGTCTGGGTTTGACACCCACCGGAGTTCTGGTGTTTGAAGGAGAAACCAAGATAGGGCTCTTCTTCTGGTATGTTTGGTCACGTCGCTATTTCCTGAAATCTTTACTTTAATACTTTATCAAAACAACTTTTCAGCATTTTTCTCTGTGTGTGTGTGTGTGTGTGTGTGTTGAAATTGTTGTAGGCCCAAGATCACTTGTCTGGATTTTAAGAAGAGCAGACTGACTCTTGTGGTGGTGGAGGACGATGACCAGGTGAACGTGAGCTTACACAGAAAAATGAACCACATGCATTGAGTCTCCCATGGTCATCCTCACGATAACGGCTTTATCAATGACTACAAAGAATGTACTGTACTAGCCACACTCTGCTCCTGTTGCACATGGGGACATAAAAGACAAAGTTATTTACAAACCATACAATTATCTTTAAAACAATGTTCAAACGGTACAAGCTGCTCCTAAAGCTTTAGTTGGAAGCAGTGCCTGAGCCCCGAATGAGGCTGGTTCCAAGTGAAAATGAAAGAAATGAAACCAGGCTTAGCATTGTGCTACCCAGAGGCTAGTGTGTATGAGAGAGGCTGTTTATGTCCATCCTGGAGGTCTGTGAGCGAGGTTAATAAAGAAGCCTGCCCCCTCTGGTATTTCTGGTATGCGCCATTCTCTAACTCCTACACACACGCACACACACATCTCTGTCCTAAACAGTTATATGCTGCATACTAGTCTTTTCTCTACAGGCATTTACTGCGTGCACTGTAATTCTCAGCTCTGTCGAGACCTTCAGGTTAATTGCATTTTAAATTGTTGCACATATTGTGCCTGAATAGCTTCTCCCTTCTGTCTGTATGGGTCACTGTTATTGGAGCTACTGGGAATAGCCTTTTGTTGGTTACATTTCAAACACCTGGTAACCCCGCCCTAAAGCACACGCCGTGTTTTACTAAATGAACCTCATGCTGCATGAAAGGACAATAAAGAGTTCCCAATCTAACAACATGGCACCAATCCTCCCCTCAGGGCAAAGAACAGGAGCACACCTTTGTGTTCAGGATGGACCACCCCAAGGCCTGTAAGCACCTCTGGAAGTGTGCCGTAGAGCACCACGCTTTCTTCAGGCTGAGAGGGCCGGTCCAAAAGAACTCTGCAAGCTCCGGATTCATACGCATGGGATCACGCTTCAGATACAGGTAACACACACATGCACCTTCTTCATTATGCTTTTAAATAACACTCCTTTTTTTACCTGGCATGGCAACAATAACTACAGATTTATTCACTGGTTTTATTTCCAGCTGAATTTCCAATCTGCAGTGTCTCTAAAAAAAATCATGTTTTACTCTAAATCTACATTATATCTTAATTTAGTAATTTATCCCACTGATCAAACAAAAATAACTGGATCAGTTGTAGTGAATTGTGTCAAACTTCACTTCTATCAAATACATTTGAAAAAATAGTGTCTCAATGATTCCTCTGCGAAGTGTCCTCTGTCTGAATGACACATGCTTAAAGATAAGTGTTGGAACTGTGTTTGTTTCTGTGCGATCTGTCTGGTCTGTGACCACACACAGCAGATGGTCCTAGTTTGGTGCACAGTGTCTTTGTCTCTACATGAGAGTATATGCAGATATTTTAGTGGCACATGACAGGCACTCAATGTCAACATGCCGCCGTAGCCTGCGTGTTCCCTTCTGTGTGTGTTTAAACGTGACCTCGTCTGATAAGCGTTGTTGCTTTTACACAGAGGATACGGGGTTTGTTGTTAATGGAAGGTTATCACTTGGATGAGTCCAGAGGTCAGCAGGGGCCACCGCTGTGACCTTTGCTTTCTTTGGGACTTTTTAATCCAAGAATCATTAGGAAAGACGTCCTTTCCTGTCTAAGAATGTATCTTTTGTGTGTTTGTGGCCAGTGGAAAGACGGAGTATCAGACAACCAAGGCCAACAAGGCCAGACGCTCCGCCTCCTTTGAGAGGAGGCCCAGTCGCCGGTACTCCAGGAGAACCATGCAGAACAGAGGTGAGGACGAATCTCTGCTCAGCATATGTCTAAATACATAACCATCAATATCACATACACAGAAAGGCACATCCACTTGGTATAGACACATGAGCAATGCATTTAGTAAAGGAACTTTGCACTAACGGTCTGTTTGTTGTGTTTTCACAGGAGCGTTTCATCCCCAGGAGTGAGTACACTGATCAAACAATGTGAACAAATTCCTTATTTCTTGTCTCCTGTACAGTCATCAAGTAGCGTTGCTTAATTCTCCGAATGCCACCGTAAGCCCTGACTAGTAATCTCGGTGCAGAAGTAGCCTTTTGTTCTGTGTGTGCTAAATGCATGATGTCAGTGCTGGTTTTAATCTGTCATGGGACCAGTTGACTCGCAGCATTGTGACCATTAATGTTCCTGTAACTTTTTATCACGCCTCAGGTCCTAGACGGTGACCGCTCAGGGGCTTTTTAAGGCTTTTAGCAACATTTGAACCTCTGCTTTACTTTGAAGCATTACTTAAAGTTCGGGATTTGTAAACAGGATCCTGAAAAGTTGAGAAGTTGCAACCTGACGTTCTTGATTTTATTTTCCACCAGTGAGCAAAGTGCACGGTGAAAAGTATTTAGTGCATTTCTTTAGTGTTCTCAAGTGTTGGACGAAGACAACCAGCTCAGTTAAAGGTGTTTGTTTTCATTTGGTCATTTCTTCTCTGCTCAGGCTTCTGTCCTCGGGCAACGGCTTCAGCTCCAGCAGAGGCATCAAGGTGAGGAGCAGAAATGTCAGAATGATGTACTAGAACCCCTCCGACATGTCACGGGAAACCCAAACACAGTCAAGTAGTCTCAACAGACGATAGTAAATGAGACCCGGAGCTTCAAGTGAGGATCCCACTTCAAGGATTAGGGACTGTAACTAGTTCATTTACTCAAATAAAACCTCTAAGAATATTACAACGCTTTATTGACGAGGACAATAATGTTTACTGGTGGAGAGATTGCAGCTGTGTGGTTTTTATTTCCTTTTAATCACATTCTCGCTACCTTCCAATCCTGCGTTTCTCCACTCATTGCGCCTGGTTCTGTCCGGCTGCAGGCTCCTCCCGGTAGAAGTGCCTGGTCCTCGGCGCCCGTGGTCGCCCCGGTGGCGGCTTCTTCCTGTGCACCGATGGAAATTGAAGCTCTACCCAGGAGTCCTGGAGGAGAAAAGAGGAGGTTGGTACCAGAGTTCAGAGTTAATTCTTGTAAATGGCTGCCGGCGGTTTTTAAGTGAAGCATTTTAGTGATTTTTTGAGAAACTGGATGTTAAATGCCAATTAGTTTGCCAGGCCAGTGGCAGCTTACTACAGTGCGCACTGATCTGGACCACAGCTGGTTTTTCATGACCGGTTGAATCTGTGACTCAACATGGTTATCCACCCATTCAAATAAGTATGCTGCACCCTCTGTTATAAACCTGCACTGTTCCCCTGTGTGTTCCAGTATTAAAATGTACTGAGGACCAATTGGTCGTGTGTGGAGGCCGGCCAGGTAGGTACGATCATCCACTGAACATCGCCATCGCTCTGTCTTCAACCAATCAATCGCTGTGCAGTGGCGGGCTTTCTGATTTTGCCGTTGGAGAAGGGTTTTCTTGTACGGCCTCCTGGGATTTTGCTATTTGATCAGCATGAAAAGCCGACCCAATGGGTGCAGGGAACGGTCTGATTTGGGGTGCGGTGCTGGGATTTGCTTTTTGGGCGTCGTGAATCTGTGATGTGACATGATTTCAGCTTTGCGTGTGTTCTGTTGAAGACTTGGGTGCATTTCAGTGTGTAGATGTCTTTGCTTTCAGCCCTTTGATGTCCTGCTGTGCATCTAGTGAACCGCTGTTTCAACTTCAAAAAAACGTAACCCGCCCAGATGTGACTTCTCCCATTGTAATATAATTACTCGTTGATCACACTACTCTGGCTTCTCTGGTACAAAGCTCATTAAGATATTCCACCCGGCCTGATCCAGTTGTAGTAGGAGGAGCCTGGCATTAAAGCGTGGGCCCTTTTTTTCTTAATTTATATCCCTGAAAAACAGGATGCACAGACATGACCTTGGAAAGGTGCACACAGAGCGATGACCTGCGTCATCACTCCTCTTTCAAACTGTCGCTCGGCAGTACATCCCAAAAGCCCTAAATACCTTCTTCCCTCCCTGTCGACAAACGCTTTTGCTTTAGCGGGGAAGGCAAAGGCTCCGGATGTTTCGCTTCCCAATTTCAAGGCTTTTAAACAAGCTTTAAACGTACCAACAAAACAACTGTTTAGCTTAGCGAAGGCCTGCCAGGTACAGGCCCAGATTCCTCTGCAGTAGACCTCTGCCGTCCAGCTTTCACAAACTACTCTACCAACACATAAGCCCTGCAAATTCTCGTGTATGTCTGTCAGCACAGAATGTTGCACAGAGTTCGTGTTTATGCACTCAGCCCACGGTAACAGTTTACAACTGACTCAGTGGACCGGAGGAGGATACTTTGAAAGAGACTCTACCACCTCTACTTCAGACTGATCCCACTCCTTTCTCCCTTTGCTTTGTAGTGCTGAGCTCTTTTGACTTTGCATGAAGCGCTTGAGCCGTCAATCTCCTCCATCCGTCCCTGCGTCATCCTCTCGCTTTGCAAAGCATCAAAGAGAAGGAGTACTAATTAGCTTAATGCTCATAGATGTTGTGATATGATTCCTCTTAATGATGCAATCCAAGTAAAACGTGAAACTTGTAAATGTCAGATCATTTGCATGAAGAAAGTCCGTAAGAGGAGCAGCATTTTAAAGGACAAAACGGTTCAAATCTTTTTCTAACCGAAAGTGTAGAACAGCATGAGACTGTTGTGAGACGAAGTGTTAAACACTAATGTTGTTAATGTTAAGAACTGTATGCTCCCCCCTATGGTTTAAGATGCCATGTGGTGTTGTGTTTAGATCTGCTGCCCTCTCTGTACGCCTCTCCTCGTCTAATGTAAGTGATAACTTGGAGATGAATGCCTTTGGGCTCCATGCATTGTATTTTTCATATGCTGTAAATCTAGTCGGATCATTTTTTTTATCCGGAGCAGCATGATTTAAAATGACATTGTAGAAAATGGTCATAGAGGCAAGGACCGGCTCCGAGGTTAGCCTGCATGTCGGTCTTCTCTTTCTGACTCATGTCATCAGCTCCGTTCTCTTCTGATCCTGTCGCCCAGTTTCGCTTCAACGTGTCAAACTTGCATACAATCTCCTCCCGGCCTTTGCTTTCGCTTAACGCTTCCCTTCCTCTCCCGCCAGTCCTGCTCCCGTCCCATCACTTTACATCCCCCGTGTCATCTTCCTCCACCCTGTTCTCCTCAGGTCTCCTCTCCTCCACCCCTCATGCTCATGCCGTCCAGACCCGGGGATCCGACAGCAACACCCTCCCACCCCCCTCGTCCCCCCTCCCCTCCCTGTGACAGCACACTGATAAATGGGAACGTCTCTGCAGTGACTCGGCCAGGAAAAATAACTTCTGGTACTCGTGGCCGCACCACATGGAAGGACACATTTGGTGCAAACGGGCCTTTGCAACAAAGTATCACACATTCCGTCACAGGCTGACGCGTCGGGGCGTCTCACTCGATGCCGACGCTCCTCCAGCGTCGCTCTATGGACAGTTCTGGCACCTATTTTTTTTACCTCCTACATTTTTCTTTCTTTCGGTCGCTCTCCTCGCTCCCTTCACTAGGGGAACTGTCCTTCACTTCTGACCTCATGGTGAAACTGGCTGGTGGGGTGGGTGGGGGTCGGAGGGGGGAAAGATGGTATCACTGCGAGGAATTCAACTCCACTCTCGACTCAGTCGGGAAACGAGAAGTCACATAGTTCCTGCCTGGAGGGTTTAACGAAGTCCTCTTCTGCTTAAAATCAGTTTAGTGTTTTTTCTTTCTTTTAAATATAATTTAATTGAATGAAATTGTGATTTTCACTATTTTGTATTTAACCTGTTGGACACTTTTTGTTCTGCTTTTGTTTTAAAAGGTAGTTGGATAAGCGGGTCAAAAGATTTCTCTGACTCACTTAAATCTGAAAATGACCTTCTCATCCAACATTTGTCTCAACATTCAGCAGGCCGATCCCATTGAAATGTTCTGAAGTGACACTGAATCGAATGTGTATTTATCATTTAGCAGCAGTGTGGGCACGGTGGGAGGGGCTATCGTGAAGTGTAACCCCGAGGTGGCGTCTGCAGAGCCGCGTGTAGAAGGATGGAAGAAAGCTGCACCGCGACTACGTTTTCTTGCACAGTTAAACCAATGAAGATGATTTCCTAATATTATTGCTTAGTTAAATGTTTACAACATGGCTTCGACCAAAGGATGTAAACTATTCTGATCTGCGTCTCAAATCATTTCAGAGAATAAAGACCGGATCCCTCTTGATTGAGAAGACGATGTAGTTTTGTATCTTTTTGCATCATTAAGATGATATTAAAATCCTCCCTGCAAGCTAGTGGGGAGGCAAATGTTTCCCTATGAAGCACCTTAACAAAGGAAATCTATACACTATATAGCTACTTAGGATTTACCATGACTAGTAACTGGCTGTAACTTTAATGCTTAAAGCCTTTCGGGATGTTGTAAAACGTGTGTCATCACCCAGTGAAGTCTCTGCATGCATTTCATTTTAACTACACAATGTTTATTGCCCACATCAGGGTTGGAGGCGTCTTCCGTCTCCTTCACGGGTTACTTCACATGTGGGAGTGTTTACAGTGGTGTGTGTGCGTGTGCGTGTGGTGTGGTGTGGTGTGTGTGTGTGTGTGTGTGTGTGTGTGTGAGAGCTAGTAAGTAATAATAAGTAGTGGATACTTCTCGTGTTTCGCTGTGTCTTCAGGCTACAGCAATATGAGGTAATTACTTTGCTTCCACCACAATCCAAGTATCAAATGTTCTGCTCTTCCAACCCCTGAATATTAGAGCACATCTTTTCCCCTCATGCTTATTTCCTGCTCTGCTGCCTTATTTCCAACTGAATTGTGCCCGTTTACTCTTGAGGACGTTTTCTCCAATGTTATGTATTTTAAGAGCCTCCCTCTTATCTTTGATAGAAGAAACCATTGTACTTTTTTGCTTTTGCGGGTATTTTTCCAAACACACTGGCTTCCCATTTACAGTTAGATTTTTGTTCAAACTTCTTTCAAAAATGTCCATGGGCCGGTTTTGACGTCTTTGCCGAGTTCATTCATGTTTTATGGATGTTGCAGGTAAGTCCAACACCTGTCTAATTTAACCCTTGCATTATATCCTCCGATGCTTCCCTTGTTTTACATCCTCCTCTCGTTGTCTGTCTTCAGCCTGCCCGCGGTCGCTGACCTGATGGAGACGTGCATTGACGACGTCCTCAGGGCTCCTGTCGTCCCCGTTGAGACCGCTGCAGACGAGGCCGGACCGAGCTACGCCTACGGACCCCCCAGCGCCACCGGGGAAGACCCTCTCGGCCTCGCCGGTGAGGCCACAGACAGCCTGCAACCCCACGGAGTGGGCAATAAAACCCCCCAATGGCAACTTGTATTCAGAAACGAGAAGTGTGATCTTAGGCCAAACTAACGCACTCAAGTGATAACGTGTGATGGACGCGGTTCCATTGGTGTGTTGAACTGTAACGCCGTGTCTCTCCAGAAGCAGCCGCTCGGCTGAAGCAGCTGGAGTTGGAGAGCAGCCCGCTTCTCGCCACTCCAAAAAACGTCAACGTCAACATGGCCATGAACAATCAGGTGAGCGTTCGTCCGTTTTAAGGTCCTAAAAAAAAAGATACTGGATTACGGACCAGTAACATGCGAGCATGAATCAAATACCGCAGGGATCGCCTAGCGGTGTTGTCTGGTGTCTTTATGTTTGGTGCGTGTCCCAACAGGAGGACGTGGTGAAGCTCACAGAGAAGTGTGGGCTGAGCAGCGCCGGCAGCAGTCCGGTCGTCCCTCCGCTCTGCACCCCGGAGGACCTGAAGAGTAACATCCTGAAAGCACAAGTCGAGGCCGCTGCCCTGAAGGTGGGGAACGGGTCCGCGCGCCGCTCATCACACCTGCAGCCGTGGCATTCGGCCACGAGGGGCTTCTGTGTGGCAGCAGAATTAAATCCATCGTGCCAGCGATGTGCTGAACACCCGTGATGGCTGTTAGTCGCTCACCATCCAGTCCATCGATTAACCTTTCTCTCCCCGCTCCGCTGTGTAGGGATCTTTGGAGGAACACGTTGTAATCGTTGGAGATAAAAACTGTAACTTGCAGGAGGCCTCAGCGAGGTATGAGCACACACACAATATTTCATTTTTTTATAGTCGTGTTATTTGTTAAACTCTGCTTCCTGGTGTTTCTGAGGAAAACGTTTTGTCAGTCCTCTTTAAACGCCTCAATACAGTGTAGAGAAAACGTGGACGGGAGAAAAGCCATTGTCACTTTTGCTCTATTGTCCTGAAATGTGGGCCCTTTCCCTCCTCCTCAGTCTTCCTGAGTCATGCCAACTGTCGACACGTCGTCTCAGCCAATCAGCGCTCGGCCTGCAGCTTGAGCTGCTCGACTATTCATGAGAATTATTAGCGTATCTCAGAAAACATTACATCACCCTCAGCTCCTTGTTACGAGCGCGGCTCTGCAGATTGTGCAGCAAATCCCTGCTTTGTCTCTGAGACAATAAGCGGCTCATGATGGAGATGATGGGTGGAGGGGAAATGAGCCACGTACGATTTGTTTATTCCACTTTCTATCCAGCACGCCTTTCTAAAACAATCCCTTTAAATGTCCTTCCTTCCTTTTTTTACCTCATTGAATTATAGATTCATGATGGATTTTTATTGGTTTGATATATATTTTTGTCTTAACATATGAAGCAGTAATTGCGCATTGAGTAGAGATCGGAGGCTGAGCTCGTGCTCTGTTTTCAGGTTGAAAGTTCGTACCGGGCGATTGGGCAGCAACTCGTCTCTGTCCATCAGCAGTCGCCCTGAAATCCAAGACTCCTGGGACCTGCTCAAGTCGGCCTCACTGGTCTGCTCAGCCGGCGCCAGGTCGGTCTCCTTTTTTCATTTTTATTACAAACTGATTTGACCAACTGGTTAATTCTGACTCTATGAATTCATCATCCGTACTGTAGCTGACACAGTTAAACTGTAAGAAAAGCTCCGCAAAATCCTTCTAAAAAAGACACACGTGGGTTTTTTTGCCTCTCATTTATCTAACCTTTGGTCAAACGATGCATTTAGGATGAAAGAAAAGGCTGGATGTAAAGAAGGAATGAATAAAGGATAGAAAACTGGTGTAAACCAGCTTTTCCTTCAATGTTTTAAACCTTTAAATACAATGACAAACAACAAATTATAATAAACACACAACCTCCACCGAAGACAAAGGCGGTGCTCGTTCTTTGTGGTCTTTGCTGACATCTGTTGGCGTGTTTAAGAAAGTGTGTGTCTCTCTCGCTGGGCGTGTTGAGTCACATGACGCGAGTCCTGCCTGGATACGCCAGGCGTCTCTGCTCAATCAGTGTCGATAGTAGGACGACACTAAACAGACACACAGAAGATTCACAAAGGCTGTGTGCTCATCGACGCAGTAAACCGTCACTGTGCTTAAACAATCCACCGATTAATCACTGCGTCCACGCTGGAACACTTATGATCATTCAACTCGTTAATCTTGATCTGTTTGAAGCCAGCGTACAACTTCTTTGGTTCGGACTTCAGTGCAAAATGTGCAGTTTACCTTTGACTGTGATAAATAAAAAGATTTTCCTGAAACCATATGAGCAATAAATGTGAATTATGCTTCAGACCACTTTCATTTCAAGCAGGAGCAACGTGACACACAGAGGAATGTAATTTGCTCGTTCTTGCTCTTTTTCTGCTCATCAGCGCCGAGAGGCTCGCCGACGATCTCCAGCCATCTGCTGCCACGACGCCCTGTGAGTCTGCCAGCGACGGCACGGCACCGAAGGTAACTCCTCACAACGACCTTACTCCACGCTACCAGGAACTCGTGGCCACTTTGTAACCGTAATTTAATTTAAAGTGACCGACGACTTCTCGTCTTTCTTCCAACGTTTACTGCATAATAAGTTAAAGCAGGAACCCCCGTCTAATGCCACTTTAATAAAGTTGTCCTTTATGCCGCTTTATTGGCTCCTCTTTGATTAATTAACGGTTTCTGTTTATCTGTTGTGTTCGTTCTGCAGGTTAAAGCGGAGGAAGTGGACCTTCACAACATCCTCCCGCTGTCTGACAACCTGATAGACTTCACGGACGCGGCTCCCGTGGTAAGTCAGAGACCAGTTCACTGCAGGGCGTGAACCGGTGACCTTTAACCTAAGGCAACGCTTGTCTTGGTTTCATGTAGTTTCAATGCATTATAGACCTTTTTTAAAAAAACTTTTTTTTTTTTTTTTTTACAAAGTTGGCCAGCGTTTCATATTTAATTGAAGATTTCAACCGCCTCCCCTTTTTATCTCTGTGCTGAGAGGCGAGAGGAAGTAGAGGGCGTAAAGCGTTTGGAGTCACTCTACGTCCGTGATGAACGGTGGTAAATTGCCGTAGATGAGTTTGCTGAATCCAGTGTTGTTATCATTCCGTCTCCCAGTTGCCACCAGCGCAGCAGCCCAAACCTCCCATCACGCCTCGCTGGATCGTTCCTTCTGCAGCTGTGAGTCCTCGATCTGTTGTCTCATGTTCAACCGGCCATTCGTTCCGTATGTTCTTGCATAGTCGCTGTTCACTTTGGCGGATGTAGAAGCTGTGTAGAGAATAACCTCCTTCCTTCTCCCTCGTCCCCTTCTAATGCAGCCTCCTGCCGCCTTTACTAACGGCCTACTCGACCTTGACCCCCCTGCTAAGGTCAACCCTCTCCTCCCTGCAGATGGGGGAGCTGCTGTCACCCCAGTCCTCCCCCACCTCGCTCACACACCTAACACCGTCTCTGCCAGGTAAAGCTCTTGAGATTTGACCAAACGGTGCCCGTAAGCTTGTTTTTGAAGCGAGCTCTGTAGGATGCTGACCAGCCAGGAAAAAGTCTCCGTAATTCCGAAATTCCCCCCAAAAAAGAGTTCCGTGTGTTGTGAGTCACGTGCCGCTCTCGCTTGGTATCGCTGTTTATAGAACTCATGAGGCCACTTTGAGGCTTTGACACACTTCCTCATCCTGGACGAGTCCGCGTGCTGTAAACGTTCTGCGCTAAAGCTCCAAATTGTATCAATGCAACGTTATGTTTCTACGCCATGTTGTTGTGATGTTGGTGATGCGATGGTTCTTCTTAAAGCAGTTGGCGACTCCGCCTCATTGTGCCGTCTGTCCTGCAGCCCTGCAGCCTCGGAGGACGGAGCCAAACCCAGAGGTCTCCTGACCACTGAGCTCTGATGGGGAGACGAGGAGCGGCCGTCACCACGCTGCCCGACTGCCCCCCATCCCCCCTTCCCCGACACATCCACTCGCCTGCTGAGGGTTGTGAGGAACAACACAAACACAGTTGCACCCACACCGACGCTCCGGTCGGACAAACTGAACTTGGCACACAGGAGAATTCTAGGAATGTGATGGCGGTTTCTTTTGGAGACAACGCGACTCGTAGTCTAGTTTTTGTTCAACAGTAAGAACAAACGTGTAGCTTCAGTGTTGACATCAAGACCTAACTGGTGAGTCTCCTCTTAGTTCACCGACAGTGACCGGGCAATTTGCTTAATCCCTCCAGGCAGCAGCGTCTCTCCGTAGATGAAAAGTGTCTTTTTGTCTCTCGACACTGAAGGGAAACGAAGCAAAAGGGAACGCTGCTTTTCTCCCATCGTTGTTTTAATTCCTCCCTTTATTTTATTACTGTTCGTTCACGCCACTGGATCCCTGCTGCTCTGAACCCGCAGAGATCCCTCAGAACGGGATCAAGTACACTGGACGAAGGACCAGTCCACCTGAAGCACGGCGCTGTACTGAAGATCCAGTCGGCGCCGCTCGATATGAAAACCACTGGACATGTTTCTCTACACTGGAGCTTGAACTCGACGTAGCTGACCACTTTTATGTTGTTGTTTGTTTTTTATCCTTTTTATTTCCTTTCCCCAGACGTTGTAATTGGCTCATCGCAGTACTTGAATCACGCGTTTCCGTAGCAGCAGCAGGATGAGGATGAGGGGTTGAACGCGGCGAATGAAAGTCCGTTGTAACTCTTTCTGGACCCGTTGTGTTACTTCGTAAACTCGTCGTGACTTTGAGTAAGAAATGTGAGACGGAAGTTTGAACGTTTTGTGTAACGTCGTCCTATACGTTATACTTGACATCAATGCCAAGCTTTTTACTTTACAACCATTTTTAAAATCGAGGACGTACACGCAAGAGGCTGCTCATCGCTTTTGAAGTGCGAATCCATTTAAGCCCGAAAATCTCATCCCGCGGCAGAAGATGCTGCTGGGATGAACGCGCTGTAGCTTCTGTCCTGCCTTATGGAAATGAATGTATTCAAACGGCCTCATGTGAGAATGCTGAACGCGCTTTTATCACGCGTCAGATTCTCTTGCTGATCCGCTTTGGAGCTGGAGGGAAAACTTTTGAAACGTCACAACAATCTGATTCCATATGGGTTCAATTGAGGCCTCATTCTACTGCTCTTTTAATGGAAAGTTAATAATGAAATGTATCCCGTTTTAAACCTCAATACTCTACATTCTAACCACTAAGTCTAGAGCCTCTTTTCAGTTTTCTCTGTGAACAAAGGGAGCGACTCTCTTATTTATGCCACTGCTCGCTGTTCAAATATTTGTCAGTGTTGTAGCTTAGTTTTAATGTATTGTCAGTATAATGGCATCCGCTGGCTGTAGATATGAAGTAGATTTATATATTTTCTTTTTTGAGGGGGAAATATTGTTGGCAGTATTGTTACTACACCCTGAGAAGATTCCTGCTTTGTGGAGGTCTGTAATTACAAAAAGAAGTAGGAAACGTGTCACTGATCAGGCTGACTGGAAATACAGATGCGTTCAAATGCAATTTTATATATACTTCTATTTTTTTCTGGAAATCCTGATCATGACTCAGTAAAGCTTTGCTACAGTAGAAGTCAAGTGTTCTTCATTCATTGTAACTGATGACGTCATTGCAGTTTCGTGTTGGACGTTTTATGCAGACTGAACGTCCTCCGCGTGTTGGTCCGTCCACCACCGGGTGGCAGCACAGGGCCGTTTGATTTCTTTGCAATGGTTTCTTTTTTTATTGCCCCTCCAATTCAAATGTCCACCTGGTGGCAGCTCTGATGAGACTAATATCTCAACTACTGCAGCACAAGCCGGAGCCATCAGGCTGAACAAGTTCCCTTTTAATCTTTGGTCCGTTTGAATGTGCCAGCTCAGCAGAACTGGACTTTTTTTTTTTTTTTAACTCGACAAATTATTTCTAATCCGTCACAAAGAAAATGATCTAAATCAATAGGGCCGAGTCGTGTAAGCAATCAGGGTTTCTCTGAATTCCTTCCCCTGCAGATTCTTTGCCACCTATAAATCAGTGTAATGTCGCCACGTCCAAGATTAGTGTCTCGTTTGCACGGAGAAGTCTGTTAATCAGGTTCCCGATGAGCCAGGATTTTCTTTTTTTTTTTTTTTTTTGTCCCTCTTACCAATCCATGAGAACACGTTTATGGCTAATTATTATTTATTTTTCGTTCTCAAATGAACTGTCATCTCTTGAGCTGCTCTGTTGAAAGAACAAATCACATCTTCTGCTTTTTGAAGGAAGCTGAATCAACTCTTAAAGGCTCATTTTGGACCACAGTTCATTGGCTGCCGCCTACAAGTAACACTTAAAAAAAACCTGTTTACTCAGGATTGCATCAGTCTCCAGAATAAGCCTTTGTTATTTGTCAGTTGCCACATTGGTTTACATCTGCAGTGACTTGACGTTGATTGAGTGGGACGGGTCTACGGAGCGATGCGTAGCTGTGCCATTATTAAACCTACAGTAATCAATCAACCCACCCGGATGCCCCCCATCCTCCTCATCTTCCAAATGAATCATTGATTACGTACATGCACCTTATGCCAGGTCACGATTGCTGACGCATGCTCAAAGCTCCGGCTGGATTCATGCAGATTTTGGCTCACGGCCCTGAGGTCACCAGCTCGGATCCCACGAAAGCCAAGATTTTGTCCCCTTAAATTTTAATCTTCTTTTATGATTGAGTTTTTTCTTCTTTTAGTTATCACCTCTGTTTATATTTTGAGGACTCTGTTAGAGATGAATTCATCAAATCAAGGTTTTAAAACTAACAAGGCGTAATGTAGAAACATTAATAAAAGGTTTAAACCCAATAAAATGATAGAATTGTTAGCGTAGCGCCAACTTAAGTGCTTGGATATCTTGGTGATAACACTGAGTGATCCTGCAGCAAGTGAAATAAATCACGTCCACCCCTACGGGGACTACGGCTGTACAGATTATCAATGGTAGCAAAGTAATGGGATTCTACATCTTTAATGATTAAATTAACTTCTCCGTAAGCGCGTATGTGAGTTATTAAGCCATAAAGAAATCGTATAAAAGTAGGTGTTATTTGGTAGCTGAACGTGGACTTATTTGCTTTCTGACAAACTTTTATGAGGTTGCTCAAGACTTTACCATTTCGTCTCGTATGCGAGACACAAACCTGTATCAAGCTGGATTTTTGTCGTCTTAATTAAACGTCCTCACATCCAGATGCTGATGAAACTTCGTCTCCACCTCGCAGCTGTTTTCAGCGTGTACCGACTGTCGCATCCCGACCAAGTTTCCTGTTGATGAAGATGAACAAACGGTGGAGCATCTGTGGAGAAAGTGAGCGCAGGAAATAGAGTGTGTGTGTGTCCCCGTGTGTGTGTGTCCATCTTCACAGGTCCATTAATATTGTGAATCGCCGTGATGGTTACCTGCACGTGTGAGAGGACGTTTCCTGGTTGCATTTTGTTTTTTTCAGTGTTGCACTGCTGCTACCAAACAACAGGTAAGAAATGTTTGCATCTTATCTGTGATGCCAGCGGACCATCAATAAAACGAACTTCCACGTGTCCCTCATTGCACCACAGACAGAATGCTTCATGAAGTCTTAAACTATAAGAGCCATTGACAATTGTCACATGAGAAGCATTTCATCCAGCTGTTTTCAAAGGGCAACCAACGTTTATCTCGTTATTACCTCGCAACGAGCCTCGTGGACGAGAAAATAGAAATTAGTTTGGCAACGGATGAAAGAACAAGACAGAACTACGCATACAGAAATAAAACATACTAATCAACCTCCTCACTGACACACCATGAAGAACCTGCTTCATAGTTCACCCGCCAGGTCTGAACCGTCCCGAGAGCTCCTGAATATTCAACAGGTAGTGTCTCTGTCTCTCACACACACACACTCTGCTGCTCGGCGAGCTGTCGCAGGAGATTTTTCTGACAGAAAAGAGTCCATATCTCAACCATTGTGTGTGTGTGTGTGGACGGATGGGGAGGTATTCATAGTCAAAGCTTTGAGATGATAAAGACGCCAGTGAGGGTAATTGATCCCTGAAGGGCTGCTTTATGTTGGTAAATGTCTATTATATGCATTTCAATGTGTGCGCGTGTCTGCCAGGTGAGCTTTCACACACACACACACACACACACAGAAAAGATACACAACGTATTCTGTGTTGTTGTTCCATCAAAGAAAAAAGGTGAAATTCCTTTTCTAGCTATTAGAAAAGATGGATGGCAAGTTTGATCGTGTGATTCATAACCGTTCATCATGATTTCAACTAATCAAATGCATTTGTAGAATTATTTCATCTCATTTTTTTACTGCCTATCTGAGCTGGCGCAGCGACGCTGCTCGTCAGCGCTTTCCACCACCTCACACGTCACAGATATGTGATTTATATATTTTATACTTTTCCGCTGATCACTCGCCTCGATTAAATCCTCCAGCCGTAAGTCGTTTGAGCGGAAACGCTCTGATTAAACTCTCCGATCACCAAGTCCAGAGGAGGAGCATCGGCCCTGTGAGGGGGGTGAACTGATTCCACCGTCCCGACCTGACCACAGGATTTAATGTGTGGTCTTTAACGCCGAAGAAACGTCAGCTTCCCTTTTCCATCCTCCTGCCCCACGTTGAAGCCGCTCCACGTGTCAGCCCGGATATCAAGAGATACGTGTGGGTGAGGCTTTCTCTCCCTGCAGAGGGGGAGGCTGTTGTTGCTGTTATTGGTGCACCGGGTTCAATGGCTGGCCACAGGCTGTGTGTGTGTGTGTGTGTGTGTGTGTGTGTGTGTGTGTGTGTGTGTGTGTGTGTGTGTGTGTGTGTGTGTGTGTGTGTGGGGAGCACTCAGTCCTGAAAAGTCTTTCTTTGAAAGAAGGCTTTCTGTTTATTAGGCCTTATTTTATTTTCCTTATGAATGCTTCCCTTGGGGGTCTATTTTGAGAAAGTATAAAACCAGCCAGCATTGTTACGTTGGCGACACGCTCCCTTTGAAACGGCGTTGAGTTTGTAAAACCATCCGGGTGGAAAACGAAAAGCCAAACCAAAGAGCACAGACCTTTTGATTCTTTACTTTTACGTCTCCGAAACGCTCGGCGTCCCGTTTCCACCTCCCGCCCCCTCGGCTCCGGGGGGCCAATCGCAGCTCTTCGTTCCGCGCTCCCGCTAACAGACAAAAAGGTGTGATCACCACGATAGTGGGGCGCCGCTCCTCCCTTTTTAGCTGCCCCATCATAAGCCAGAACGACCTCGCATGTTAAATATCGGTTTCTGTGTTCATTTTGTGCCGTGTGCGATTTACCGAATATCTGTGTCAACACCCCCCGGTCACGGTTTGTTGTTCTACAAAGTGCTCCGTGAATAAACGTTCCTTGACTGGAGGTGCGTGGTGTGTGTGTGTGTGTGTGTGTGTGTGTGTGTGTGTGTGACGGGCAGACAGCTTGACAGAGCTCATCTGTGGCAGTCGCCCTCCTGTGTGTGTTATCAGCAACTCTCAAACGGGTGCTGCCAATCACCCCTCATGCGCACACACACACACGCATGCCTGCTTAAACACCTGGAATCTAGTCCACAGCAGTGCACATACTGGAATACATGCACACACACACACACACACACATGGTAGGTGATGCTGAATGCTCGCTCCCATCACTCTTTGTTCCTGTCATGTGTGTCTCTCTCACACACACACACACACACACAGGGAGCAGGTGTACCTCTCACTTGCATTGGAAGACCTGCCCCCCCCCCCCCCCCCATAATACTCACCAGCTGTCCGTCTCGGGCGCCCACCGATCAGCCTCGTCCTCGTCCTCTCAGCTCTCATTAGTTGCGGCGCACCTGGTGGACGCGTTGGACCTGGTGTCCCCCGGTAGGAGACGATGACGGACAGATTACCCCATTTTCCCCTCGTTACGCCGTCTCCTTGAAGTCGTGTGCACAACCTGAATAATCAGAGTAGCGGCAAAAACAAAAGATTGGAAAATCTACAAAATTCAAGCATTACACAAATGCACTTTTATGATAACCATCTTAATTTAAGGGGCTGTTTTTATTAATAAATGAATAAACAACAACAAACACCTCCCAGCAACATTGACAAAGCTGGTTAGATGATGAAAACATATCCAGTCAACAATTATTTTGGGCCCCAAAAAAACCTGGCTGCATATGGACCTGGATCCAGTTTGAACCCGATCAAAGAGTCGCTGCAGTGATCAGTGAGCCAAGACATTTTGATTTTGTGTCAAACCAGAGCGGCGGAACAAGATCCGAGAACGTCCCGGGAAGTGCTGACGGGGCGGGTCGCGTTCGTACTGTAGAGAAACAAAAAAGAAATAAATACACAATCAAAACCCGCAAAAGAAAATACATCCTGACAGGATCAAGCCCGAAGCAATTAGGAGAAATCAGGCCCGGCACACCGGCACCGAACCTGTCCGGCCCAATCAGATCAGATGTGGGCCGAGAATCAAAATATATGAACCTTTTTTTGTTTGTTTCTGTTTTGATTCACACGCACGTGCACACATGCATGAAAAGCGCCTCCGGTATGTTTTTCTGTCCCCCGGTGAAGCTGAGT